TGTAGACACAGGGCTCCCCTCTCTGGGCACAGTCAGAATCACTGCATCATTTGAGGCTTCAGAGTAACACGGGAAAGAGTGCAAGCTCTGGGCCTGACTGACTGCGTGGGTTGGTTTTGCGCTTTGCGTAATGGTGCTTGCATATTTGTTTCATTTTTGAGACAGGGTTTCAATATGTAGCGCTGGCTGTCCTGGAATTTGCTAAAAAAGCCAGCTGACCTTGGCTTCACAAAGATTTGCCTGCCTCTGCCTGCCAAGTCCTGTGGTTAAAGGCATGTGCCACTACACCAGGATCTGCCTGGTCCAGAATCCCGGCTCCGTCTATCAATAGCTGCTTGACTCTTTCTGGTAGGATGTAAGGTTAGAATGCAGCTACTGGTCAGACCCAGCACAGGCAGCAGCCATTCCGTTGTCACAGACGCAGCCAGGCTCCCACTGAAGCACTGTCTGTGAGTCCCTAGCTAACAGAATTTCAGTGCCAATGGGAGTTTTCATCAAAAAGCGTCCTGGTGACCACACATCCTTCTTCCCACCCTTCCTAGTGCAGGGAAACTTGTCACACCATCATAACGGGGTCAAGAGAGACCTCCATTTCTCTCTTCCTCTGATGCTGAGGCCTGAGCTCTCCTCAGAGTCCCTGTCATGCTGTTATCCATTTGTTCATAATGTTCATTTTCAGAATAAACTCCTTCCTCCTCAACAGTCCTTCTCAGTTACCTTCTCAAAACCCTTATCTGAGACCTTTTAACCCTTGACCTCTGTGCTTCAGTTCCCCCATGCACAAAGCTGGTACGAAATCAGGGTTAAATGAGTTAACACAAAAAAGAGTTTACCCAACATAAAATACCTTGGGGTAATGCTAACCAAACAAGTGAAAGACCTGTATCACAAGAACTTTGAGTCTTTAAAGAAAGAAATTAAAGAAGCCCTCAGAAAATGTAAAGATCTCCCATGCTCTTGGATAGGTAGGGTCAGTGTAGGTTTTCTGGGATAGATCATGCCTATTTTATGTAGCGATAAGAAGAACAAGACAATTGTTTATGGATACTCACTAACTGCTCACTGTGTTAAGGCCAAACACAGCACCTTATTTATCCCTCATAGTCAACCTGGAGAGTTCCTTACACTGGTTCCTTGTTCTGAAGTTAACAGATAAAACTGTGTTGTCCCATGAAGCAGGTGTCCTTAACTTGATTTTAGCAAAGGAAAATTTGTGGCCAAGAAATTCAGAAGGCAAATACTGACTGGTCTGTCAGGGACAACCATCCTGGATGCCAACATAACTCTCTGCACCCCAGAGCCTTGGTGCCAACTATGTATGTTCAGTGACCTCTGCAATGCAAAGACCAGTTTGCTTTATAACCAGCTGCGAACTACCAGGACAAATGGGGTAACACTATGAGCTCCTCAAGGTCAGGAGTCCTTGCTGTCATCCCTCATCTCTCCCTCTGCATCAGGCACTAGACCCCCACAGGTGACCCATATGCTCCCACGGAAGGATCTGCAAGTCAGTTTCCAGAGAGCTTAAGCAGCCAGGCTCAGGGGAGGCAGATGCCAGGTGAGCACTTGGTAGCAAGGCCAGCACTGGGGCCAGCAGGCTTGCCCGATAGTGGTGAAGAGAGAGAAGCAGTAGATGCCAGAACGCAGAGGGACCGCAGTGTCTGGTCACACAGCTTGTGTTGGCTGTCAATTTTCAGAAAGAAAACAAACTCAAGGCAAGGAGGCTGGCACTTCCCACAGGGGCAGCCAGTCCCAGCAGGGTGCTGCTCCTGCAAGGGCTGCAGTAGCTGCCTGCTTGAAGATCACAGCTTAGGTCTGAGGGACAGGGCCCTTTGGCAGGCATTGTCTGGGCCATTCTGACTCTGACAAGCTCTCAGGATCACACATGGTTGTGGCTGGCAGCCCAGACAGACACGATTGTTTTGGCTTCTGTTGTTTCTATTTTTCCTCTGTCACCAGGCATGCACTCAAGGTCCTGGATCTCAGCTCATCTGATTGGAGGTGGTGGCCAACCCAAGTACCTGCTGGCGCCCCCTGGTGGAAGAGCAAAGGATACAAGCACCATCTGGGTCAGGAAGGAAAAGATATGGCCAGGAAGGGAACAGGGAGCTCTGTGGATCTTCCCAGTGACTTTAAAGAGCTGTGCTGTGACTGTCCCTGCTGTCCCCATAGGAAAATGATTTACTGTGACTTAAGGGGCAGCGAACACAACAGCTCTGACTCTCACATGGACTTTGATGAGGGAGGCAAAGAGTTGTCTCTTCACCTTGGCTTCCCTTAGGAGGCCGCACAACTGTCATTGAATTTAGAAGGTCCTTCATTTAGAGGTTTCTTGGAACTAGAGTGTGGGGGGAGGTAACTTGAGTATAAGGTACTCACTCCATCATTACTAGGTCAACATAAAGAGGTGTGAAGATCACGTGCAAACCTTGGCATCAGCACTACCTGGGGAAGGCAGGAAGGCTTTTATACAACCAGAAGATCTCGGGGGTGTTCAGAACTGCATTCTGGTGAGTTTGTGCTTAAGAAGGAACACTGGAAGACAAAACATGTCTCTCCTCTTCTTAGCCTCCTCCTCCATCCAATTTCATTGAGACCCTGAACACCCCTCACCCCGCAGTCTGTGGGAAACAATTTCCTGAAGACTTCTTACATAACCCTGAACCCTGGAGACCAGGCTGTGATGTCATCCTGTGGTTCTTTTTCATTCCATGTCCCCCTCATCAGAATGGTTGCTGAAGCCAGAAAATACGTGACTGGATGAAATTCTCTGCAAAAACTCCCTCATACTTCACTGCATGAAGCTGTGAGGGTGAGACCTAGCTTGTGACAGGGACCCACGGGAAATGTCAGGCACAAAGTGAAGCTGGCCTGAGAGAGAGCTCACATGAGCTGTAGGTGGCAAAGACTGTCTATTGGTGGCTGCCAAGGCACATTAGAGCCCAGGTGATGTCACCAGAAGCTTCATATGCCAGACAAGGAGAAGCCAGTCCTGGTGTTTGCCCTGCTGGTTATCAGTGTTGTTTAATCCAGTCACTCCTTGCTGGCTTCCCATTCTTGTCTCTTGTAAGGAGAATCTTTAGTCTGTGCCAGGACACATTGGAAGTCTGTTCTTACTTTTCACATTTCACATGGACTCACACAGCAGAGTACACTGAGTCTTAGAAGCGACTTTGGAAGAAGAATCTGCAGTGTGTCCCCACGTCCCATCAAGTGCAGAACAGACTCTCAAGGTTCCCAGGTCAGAGCTGCAGGAGAGATAGCTCCCCAGTCCCACCTCCAGGGTTCCAGAGTCACTGGGTTAGGAGCAGGGCCCGAGAATCTGCTTTTCTAACAAACACTCAAACGCTGCTGATTTGAGCCACACTTGAATGTTCATTGTGTATACTTTAGCCTAACTATCCAAGAGGGCTTAGCTAGGTAACAAACAAGCAACCCCAAACTCCTAACTTTCTGTTTCCACTCAAAACCCAAGGCCCGCTCCACAGAACAGTCACCAGACCTAGAGGAGCGCCTTGAGCCATGGTGAGGAGGTTTGGAAGTGCTTCAGAATGAAGGGTATTTGAGAAGTGGGGAGCCTCTGTGATGAGCTCATGACACAAACACCCCAATTGACACACAGCTGGTCTCTCACAGAAGCCTGTAGACATGACACAGGAGGCTGCTTAAGAGGAAATGATGGAATCTAAAATCTGCTATTACAAGGAAGTATAGACATGGTGGTTCACATCTATAATTCAGCTCTTGTAAGGCTGAGGCACAAAGGATGGCAGTGGCTTTGAGGCCAGCCTGGGCTACACAGTGAATTCCAGGCCAGTTGGGATTACAGACTGAGATTCTGTCTCAAAAATAATTAACTTTTAATATTCCATGTACTATATGCACACAAGCTTATTCAGCATAGTTTTTCCTAATGAGCAGTAGAGGAGTCACATGGATCAGAAAGGGATGAATCAAAACCTTTTTGCTTTTGCTTTTCTCTAATATCAGTAAGTCTCTGATTGCAATTTTTAGAGAGCAATCTCCACAAAGCAGGGTCCACTTGGAAGACCTGAGTTTCTCATGGGTGTTGAGGAGCAGGCTTAGCACTCAGTAAGAAGTCACTCAGAAAGTCCTGACTGGTGGGCTAGACTGCTGGCCTGACATCTTCCCTCCCTCCCTCCCTCCCTCCCTCCCTCCCTCCCTCCCTCCCTCCCTCCCTCCCTCCCTTCTTCCCCCCCCTCCTCAATCTATGGAAACACCCATCCTTTCGGATCTGCAATTCCAAAGTGGTCTAAGGACTGGAATCAGGAGGTGTGAGAAGTCACATGGGAAAATGCCATTTACCCTGTAGGATATTCCTTTGCAATCCTATGTATTTTATCTGGTGCATTTCTCCAGAATGCCAAAGGTGCTGAGGCCACACTGACTTGTTTGCCTCTCGTGTTGAGGATCATGAATAGACAGTCCTACAAAGTTTGCATAAGGTTTTTCTGGACCCCCATCCTGAGCTCCACCCTGACCATTCACTGGACTAGGTGGCAGCTGATGGCTTGAGCTTAGATGACAAGTTCCCTCCACTAAGAACCAGCCTGTTCCACATACTTGACACCATGCAATCCCAAGGCCATACAAAGTTCCCTCCACTAAGAACCAGCCTGTTCCACATACTTGACACCATGCAATCCCAAGGCCATACAAAGTTCCCTCCACTAAGAACCAGCCTGTTCCACATACTTGACACCATGCAATCCCAAGGCCATACAAAGCCATGGTCTTTGAGGTTTGTTTAGAATAACTGAATAGAAGCCTGTTGAGGCTGCTTCTGTCCTCTGATACTGTAGTAACAGAAATGTCAGAGTGTCTAGTCTGAGCCATATAAACGCTGCTGCTGGGGGTGATGTGTATCTAGGGAGAGGGATGTTTAAGTGGTAGACTGCACAAGACAGACTGTGCTCCAGTTCAGCAAAGACAAATGTGAGATAACAGAATCATTTACCCAAGTCATGTCACGGAAGTAATAAAGTGTCCAAAAGGTCCTCCTTTTATTTTGAGTAGGGAAAGTGTCCTGTGTGTCTGGGGGGAGAGACAAGGCTGGGGTGAGGGGGGACACAGCAGGGTGGGAAGGAGTTGCTGGAGAACTCAGAGGCAAACATCAGGATGCCGCAGCCTCCTCATCCCTGTGACTTGCCACCAACGTCCAGTGACTCTTCCAGGGTTTGCTTAGTCCCCAAGGACCAGTGTAGACTTCTCAGTTCTCAAAATACAGTCGCGTTATTTCCCCAAATACTTTCATGTGGAAGAAATAGGTTCAGCAAACTAACATCACAAGATTTAATAAATATGATGTTAGGGTCCTTTGTGTATTCTGGGAAATTCTGTTTTCCCCCACACCACAGAATCCGGGAGCTTCCCTCAGTACCTGGACTGCTGCTGTATAATAGAGAGTAGAGGGTTTGTCCTAGTTAAATTCTCAGCCAAGAGGGCAAAACTGGTGTGGCGTGAGAATTCACCACGAGGCACGGTTTCATATCAACTTAAAGTTCTTTTATGGGAACTGATTGCCCTGGACTCACAAGATTCAAAATGCTTTCCCAATCTGGCGCTCTGTACCATTCCTCCTGGCCATCTAAGCCTGGTAGCCCTGGTCTCACAGTGTAAAAATAGGGTCGTGATGTCGTATCCACATCTTTCTGATCCTACAGGCAGTAAACTGTACTCCCCCACTCGGGCTTAACACCACATCAACTTGGATTCTCTGAACATCCTACTTCGCCTTTTGCAACGTGAGTTCCTCCAGCGGAATTGCTTGGCTTCCTAAAAAAACAAAAACACCCCTTAATTTCACTTGTGGATCCTAGCTAATCAAACCCAGGAGTCTCCTTACACGCATCGTCCCGGCCGGGAGAGGGCAGCGGACTCCAACCCTGCGCTCCCGGGTGGCAACCAAGTTTCTAGGGTCTCGGTTCCCTCAGCTCCACCCAGAACTGCACCCGGAGTCCGGGCCTTGGAAAGCAGAAGGACGTGGGACTAGGGACACCGCGTCGCAGGACGGAGTTCCGGAGAGGTCTCGGTTCTGCAAGAGAACGCAGGCGGCAGTACCTGAGTGCGCCTGCGTGGAAACTGCTTCCGGGGTGAGGTCCTGCGCTTGCGCATCTCCTTTTTCCCTTCTCGAGCCACAGCACGTCTCAGGGCTGCAGGTGAGCTGTGCGTTCGTCTCATAAATGAAATTTTCTTGCAAAGGCATGGAAATAAACCGGTCTTTGCTGGGCATGCGCCATCTCCTTCAGTCTCTCAGTCTACACAGCAAGAAAAAAAATTCAGAGGACCAGGGGAAGGAGGGATGGAGGCTGCCCTCCCAGAGGGCTTTCCTGTCCCCAACGCCGGCAGTTTCCTGAATTTCTGCCTTCCGGGGGCCCTAAATATCGCACATATTTTGTCTTCTACCTCCCCGGAGGTGGGGTGTGGTGGCCGATAACATTCAACCAGACTTCCTTCAAAAATGGCTTTCGTGCGGCGTAGCTCAGAGGTAGCCAGTTATATTTTTTAATTATTATTATTTTTATTTAGGTTAGAAACAATTTTGTTTCACATGTCAATCCCAGCTCCCTCTCCCTTCCTGTCTCCCCCGCCCTCTCCACCAGGTAACCCAGTCCCCCACCCAATCTCCACTCCGATCCATGGTGGATATCCAGTGACTGTCATTTCATCCAGGGCAGGGCCTAGGCCCTCCCCCAAGAGGCCGGGCTGAGAGAGCATCCCTCATCGTGGGATGGGCACTCAAAGTCTATTTGTATGCCAGGGATGAATACTACTCAAGGCCCCATAGATTACCTTGGCCTTCTCACTGACACCCACATTCAGGGGGTCTGGGCCAGTTCCATGCTTTCCACACAGCCATCAATCTGGGGTCCAAGAGCTCCCTGTTGTTCAGGTCAGCTGTTTCTGTGGGTTAAACCAGCCCACTCTTAACTCCTTTGCCCATCAGTTCTCTCTTTCTGACACTGGATTCCAGGAGTTCGGTTCAGTGTTTGTCTGTGGGTATCTGCCTCTGCTTTCATTAGTGGCTCGATGAAGGTTCTGTTTCCTAGACTCTCTGGCAGTTGGATTGTATGCTGGCACTCCCCTGATTCATGTCTAAAATCCATAAATAAGTGAGTACATACCATGTTTCTCTTTTTATGACTGAGTTACCTCACTCAGGATTTCTTCTAGTGCCATCCATTTGCCTGCAAATTTCAAGATTCCATTGTTTTTCTCCGCTAAATAGTACTCCATTGTGTAAATGTACCATACCAGCACTCCCACCAGCCGTGTAGGAGTGTTCCCCTTTCTCCACATCCTCTCCAGCATAAACTATCATTGGAGTTTTTCATTTTAGCCATTCTGACAGGAGTGACATGGTATCTCAGAGCTATTTTGATTGGCATTTCCCGGATGGCTAGGGATGTTGAGCATTTTCTCAAGTGTCTCTCAGCCAGTTTAGACTTCTCTACTGAGAATTCTCTATTTAGTTCTGTACCCCATTTTTTGATCGGATCCTTTGGTGTTTGGAGACTTGCTTCTTGAGTTCTTTGTAAATTTTGGAGATCAGCCCTCTGTCAGATGTGGGGTTAGTGAATATCTTTTCCCAATCTGTGGGCTGCCTTTTTGTCTTGCTGACTGTGTCCTTTGCCTTACAGAAGCTTCTCAGTTTCAGGAGGTCCCATTTATTAATTGTCGATCTTAGTATCTGTGCTACTGGAGTTACATTCAGGAAGCAGTCTCCTGTACCAATTCGTTCAAGGGTGCCTCCCACTTTCTCTCTCTCTTTTTTTTTTTTTTTTTTTTTTTTTTGGTTTTTCGAGACAGGGTTTCTCTGTGGCTATTTTGGAGGCTGTCCTGGAACTTGCTTGGTAGTCCAGGCTGGTCTCGAACTCACAGAGATCCGCCTGCCTCTGCCTCCCGAGTGCTGGGATTAAAGGTGTGCGCCACCACCGCCTGGCCCCACTTTCTCTTCTAACAGGTTCATTGTGGCTGGATTTATGTTGAGGTCTTTGATCCATTTGGGCTTAACTTTTGTGCATGGTGATAGACATGGATCGATCCGCATTCTTCTACATGCCAACATCCAGTTATGCCAGCACCATTTGTTGAAGATGCTTTCTTCCTTGCCAGCCACAGTTGCAGTCCCCAAATAACACACAAGACGGTATATTAATCATGAAGACTCAAAGTTCTTGTTATTACAGGTCTTCCACTTGTTTGGTTAGCATTATCCCAAGGTATTTTATGTTGTTTGTGGCTTTTGTAAAGGGCTATATTTCTCTGATTTCTTTCTCAGCGCTATTATTGTTTGTATATAATATGGCTACTGATTTTTTTTTAGTTAATCTTGTATCCTGTCACTTTGCTGAAGGTGTTTATCATCTGTAGAAGTTCCCTGGTAGAGTTTTTTGGGGCACTTATATAAACTATCATATCATCTGCAAATAGTGAAAGTTTGACCTCTTCGTTTCCAGTTGGTATCCCCTTGATCTCCTTTTGTTGTCATATTGCTCTAGCTAGAACTTCAAGTACAATGTTGAGGAGGTATGGAGAGAGTGGACAGCCTTGTCTTGTTCCTGATCTTAGAGGAATCACGTTGAGTTTCTGTCCATTTAGTTTGAGGTTGACTGTTGGTTTGCTGCATATAGCTTTTATTATGTTGAGGTAAGTTCCTTTTATCCCAGATCTCTCCAGGTGTGTTGGATTTTGTCAAAGACTTTTTCAGCATTCAGTGAGATGATCATGTGATTTTTGTTTCTCAGCTTGTTTATATAGTGGATTACATTGATGGATTTTCATATGTTGAACCAACCCTGCATGCCTGGGATGAAGCCTAAAGCCTACTTGATCATGGTGGATGTGTTTTCTGATGTGTTCTTGGATCTGATTTGCCAGTATTTTATTATTTTTGCATCAATGTTCATAAAGGATATTGGTCTGAAGTTCTCTTTCTTAGTTGTGTCTTTGTGTGGCTTGGGTGTCAAGGTTATTGAAGCCTCATAGAAAGAGTTTGGCAAAGACCCTTCTGCTTCTATTGCATGGAATACTTTGAGAAGAATTGGTATAAGCTGTTCTTTGAATTTCTGGTAGAATTCTGCACTGAGGCCATCTGGCCCTGGGCTTTTATTGGTTGGAAGACTTCTGATGACTGCTTCTATTTCCTTAGGTGATAGGTCTATTTAAATTGCTTATCTGTTCTTGATTTAATTTTGGCAAGTGATATCTATCCAGAAAATTGTCTATTTCCTTTAGGTTTTCAAATTGTGTGGAGTACAGGTTTTCAAAGTATGACCTGATGATTCTCTGGATTTCCTCAGTGTCCATTGTTATGTCCCCCTTTTCATTTCTGATTTTGTTCATTTGCATGTTCATACTGTGTCGTTTGGTAAGTTTGGATAAAGGTTTGTCTATCTTGTTGATTTTCTCAAAGAACCAACTCTTCATTACATTGATTTTTTTTTGTATTGTTTTCCTAGTCTCTGCTTATTGATTTCAGCCCTCAATTTGATTATTTCCTGGCGTCTACTCCTCCTGGGTGAATTTGCTTCTTGTGTTCTAGAACTTTCAGTTGTGCTTTTAATTCTCTAGTGTAACTATTCTCCAGTTTTTTCATGTGGGCACTTAGTCCTATGAACTTCCCTCATAGCACTGCTTTCAAAACGTCCCATAAGTTGGGTATGTTGTGTCCTCATTCTCATTGAATTCTAGGAAGTCTTTAATTTCTTTTTTTATTTCTTCAGTGACCCAGGAATGGTGCAATTGTGCATTATTCAACTTCCATGAGTTTGTAGGGTTTCTGTAATTTGTGTTAATGCATGGTGGTCTGATAAGGTGCGTGGAGTTATTCCAATTTTTTTGTACCTGTTGAGGTTTGCTATGTTGCCAAGTATGTGGTCGATTTTTGAGAGGTTCCATGTGGCGCTGAGAAGAAGGTATATTATTTTTTATTTGGGTGGAATCTTCTATAGATTTCTGTTAATCCCAATTGGGTCATAACTTCTATTAGTTCCTTTGCTTCTTTGTTAAGTTTTTGTCTGGTAGTCCTGTCTAGAGGTGAGAGTGGGGTGTTGAAGTTTCTCACTATAAGTGTGTGGGGCTTTATATGTGATTGAGTTTTAGTAATGTTTCTTTTATGAATGTGAGTGCCTTTGTATTTGGGGCATAGATGTTCAAAATTGAAACTTCATCTCATGGATTTCTCTGTGATGGGTATGAAGTGCCCTCCTTTATCTCTTTTGATTGATTTTATTTTGAAATCTAATTTGTTAGATATTAGGATTGCTACCTGTTGTATATGTTTGAGTTTGTATCAAATTTAAATCTTCTATTTAGACTAAAAGGGGAATTGTAGGAGTGAGCCCAACAAAGCTATCCGCCCATGAGGGCGGAGATAAGCAAATTAGCACAGGTAGAGATAAAAGGAAGCAAAAGGAAAAAGGACCTCTTTTTTTGGAAGCCGGCCATGCTTCTGATTCCCAGCTTGTGTAATTCTCTCTTTCTTTCTCTGGTAAATAAATATATTGTATTCCCTATTGCATTGACTATAATCCTTAGCTACCCCCGCTTGTTTCTTGGGTCCATTTGATTGGAAAGTCTTTTCCCAACCCTTAACTCTGAGGTAATGTCTGTTTTTGAGGCTGAGGTGTGTTTCTTGTATGCAGCAGAAGGATGGGTTCTGTCTTCAAATCCATTCTGTTAGCCTGTATTTTTTTATGGTCGAGTTAATACCATTAATATTGAGGGATATTAATAACCACTGATTGCTCATTCTTGTTTTTTTGGAATAGTTGATGGTGCTGGAATTATATGTGGATTTCCACCTCTTTTCTTTGTCTGTTGCTAAGGTGGGATTATCTGTTGCCTATGTTTTTCTGGTTGTAGTTAACTCCCTTGGATTGGGGTTTTCCTTCCAGAACTTTGTGTAGGGCTGGGTTAGTGGATACGTATTGTTTAAATCTGGTTTTGTCATGGAATATCTTGTTTTTTCCATCTATAGTGATAGAAAGCTTGCTGGATATAGCAGTCTGGGCTGGCATCCGTGGTCTCTTAGTGTTGGTAGAATATCTATCCAGGCTTTCAGAGTTTCCATGGAGAAGTCAGGTGAGATTCTGATAGGTTTGCCTTTGTATGTTACTTGGCCTTTTTCCTTTGCTGCTCTTAATATTCTTTCTTCCTTATGTTCGGGGTTTTTACTATTATGTGGCGAGGTGATTTCCTTTTGTGGTCCACTCTATTTGGTGTTCTATAGGCTTCTTGTACTTTCATTGGCTTCTTAAGTTGGGCAAGTTTTCTTCTATGATTTTGTTGAATATGCTTTCTGTCCCCTTAAGGTGGTTTTCTTCACTGTCTTCTATACCTATTATTCTTAGGTTTGGTCTTTTCACGGTGTCCCATATTTCCTGGATATTTTGTGTTAGGGATTTTTTGGAGTTAAGATTTTATTTGGTTGATGAATTTTTTCCCCTAGTGTATCTTCAACACCTGAGATTCTGTCTTCCATCTCTTGTATTCTGTTGGTAATGCTTGTATCTGTAGTACCTGACCGTTTGCCCAGCTTTTCTATTTCACAGCATTCCTTTAGACTGTGTTTTTTTTTTATTGTCTGTTTCAGCTTTCAACTCTTGCACTGTTTGAATTGTTTCTTGTAATTTTTGCTTTGTCTTTTCCTCTCTTTCTTGCATTTGTTGAAGTTTTTGGTTAGTCTTTTCTTCCATTTCTTGCATTTTTTGGATTGTTTTTTCCTCCATTTCTTGCAATTCCTGCATTTTTTCCTCCATTTCTTGTATTTTTTGGCTTGTTTTTTCTTCCATGTCTTTAAGGGATTTTCTCATCTCTTCTTTGAGGGCCTCTATCATTTTCATGTAGTTGCTTTTAAGGTCTTTCTCATCTGCTTCTTCCACAATGGACTGTTCAGGTCTTGCGGGTGAAGATTCTCTAATTTCTGGGAGTGTCATATTGGTTTTTCTGTTGGTGGGTGTGTTTTTGTGTTGTCTCCTTCCCATCATTTCTTTCTGTGGGTGCAGAAGGAGTTTCTTCCTCCCCTGGTGGATATGTGACCACGGGTTCCTTTCCAGTGGGTGGGAGCAGTTCTAATACCCTGGTGGCTTTCCTCTTGTGTGGATGGAGGCTGTCCTAGTATCAGGACCTTAGCAAACTCTGGGTAGGCTGGACCCTTGCCTCGTCTGTGCCGTGGGTGGAGAATGGGATTTGGAAGCTGGTAGTCTCTGGGCGGGCTGTATCCCGATCTGGATTAACTGTGCATAGTCCTCAGGTCTCCGGTGTTTCTGCTCAGGCCACCGGAAGTTAGGCTTGGTAGTTTTATTTTTAAGTGACACCCTTTCGTGTATTTTTATCTACAGATCTCTTAGTGGGTGGGCAGACCTTGGAGGACTTGGGACTGGGCAAGCCAGGGATTTGTCCTTTGGTTTTGTATGTGAGCAGTAAATAACTTTGCTGCCTTGCATCCAGATTGCTATCTGGGCTCCTATCATTCCTCAGCCTCCTGTCTGTTGCAGGGATATGAGCATGCCTCTCTCTTCCAGCCACACCCATTCTTTTCATGTTCAGGCAGCCTCTCCTCTTAATGCTTGGTTGTGGTCTGCCGTGGAGGAGAAGCAAGAAATTTGATTGATTTGTGGGAATATTCTCAGTGTGCAAAGGTTGGGAATGGGTTTACCTTAGCGTTCCTTAGAACAGTGCTTAGTTCTCTATGGAGATGAAGGAACAGTTGGGTTCCAGACAATGTAGGCAGGGGTTGTGGGGCAACAGGGGATAGCTTCAGAAGGTTGTTTGTCTGAGTCACCTTGGTGCCCAGTGCAGGTCAGCAATGGACGCGAGCGCAGCTTTGCTCTCAGTGAGCTTGACGGGCCAAGAAAAGAGATTTAGACAGGCAACACACCACAGCCACTGGGCTGAGGGACATTAGACTTTGTTCTTCCTTCACAGGGACACTGTGCCCCCCCATCCTTTTCCTCCCCACACCATTTCCAGGCTCTGCTAACCTTTTAGCTTCCCTGTGTGTGTGAGAACACATGGGATTTGTCTCTCTGAGCTTAGAACACTAATGTTTACTGAATGCGCAGTGTGTCCCAGGCACTATTCTGGAACTTTAATTCAGTTTCTAAGTGGCCATGGGAGCCAGGCGGTCCTAGTTTCCTTTTGTGAAAATGAAGAAGAGGAATTACTGGCAGTTGAGGAACGCATCTGATTTTACACAGCTGGTAAGCCGTGGTATCAGCTCGGAGCCAAGGTGTGTGGTATAACATGCTTAGTACTGAGTAGGACTTACTGTGAGATGCTTGTGGGCAGAGGAGTGAGTCAGCAGTGTGGTCACAAGGTGTCGGCCACTTGGGAGAAGCATCCAGGATGGAGATATGCCACTGTGCCCCAGCCAGGTCTCTCTCCCTCCCTCCCTCCCTCCCTCCCTCCCTCCCTCCCTCCCTCCCTCCCTCCCTCCCTCCCTCCCTCCCTCTCTCCCTCTGTGTATGTACTTCAGTACTATGCTTACACATTTCTAGGGTTTTTTTCCCCCACATCACAATTCTCTAGGGTTTTTGTTTGTTTGTGTTTTGATGTTTTAGGGAATTTCCCTGTATTCATGTCTGTACGGGAAGAGAATTCCTGGTGCCCTTGGAATCCGAAAGAGAGTACCTGATCCCTTGGGACTGGAGTTACAGAGTCATGAGCTGCCCTGTGGATTCTGAGAATTGAACCCCAGTATTCCAGAGGAGTAGCCTGTGCTCTTAATCACTGAGCTGTCTCTCCAGCCCCCTGTTATTATTTCTTCATCTCTCATTTAGTCATCAAATGGTTTTTTTGAACTCAGGTGCTTCCTGTATGTATGCCCCTTGGTGTAACTTCTTGGGTACAGATGAAATCTGCCAGGTTAGCTCATCATGCAGATATGAGGATTCCTTCAGTGGGGTCTCCTTTTCTGTGACATCCTCTCTCTGTCTTTCTCTCTGTCTCTGTCTCTCTCTCTGTGTAAATGTGTATGTGTGTGTGTGTGTGTGAGAGAGAGAGAGAGAGAGACAGAGACAGAGACAGAGACAGAGACAGAGACAGAGATGGGGGGGCTTATTTACAAGGTCTCATGTTGTAGCCTGACTGGCCAGGGACTCACTATGTAGTGAGGTTGGCCTTGAACTCCTGGAAACCCTCCTTCCCTGGTCTCCCACATGCCGAGATCACAGGCATGTGCTACCACACTTGGTTTACAGTATACTTTAAGTGACTCTGAGATAAGCTTAGCACCTATCCCAGTCTGAGTCAGTCTCAAGAGACTGCTTAATCGAAAGGAGGAGCCGTGAGAAAATCAGAGGAACACGTGGGAGAGCCAGGAGTACGGCCCAGTGGTAGAGCTCCTGCCTGGTATGTTCAAGGCCTGCATAAAGTCCCCCGTTAGCACACACATGCTCTTATACATGCATACACACAGACAAATACACAGGATACTTCATACCCCATTAGCACTTTCATATTTGCTAACATAATTATTTTTCCTATGGAAAAAGACGTAAAAATGGTAAAATATAAAAATATCAAGATCCTGTGGCTACATAGGCCATAGACCATAGGGACAGCCTACCACTATTATTCAGCTAAATGGAAATAATATTAAAATGACTCCTAATACCTTATCGCTATACCCATAGATTAGTGTACTTTTCAGTACTCATCAGAGAAAGTTCTTGCAGTAGTCAGTAACACAGACTCACAACGGGTCACCATCCAGAGAATAAGTGACGTGTGCCAAGCATTTAATGGGATGTCTGCTATACCCTCCTTGCAAGGCCCAGGGATCATCTAGGAAGAAGGGGTAGAAAGACGGTCAGAGCAAGAGGCTGTGGATGGCTACAAGCAACATTTCCTAGACACAACAGGGCACATACGAACTCACATCGATTCTTACAGCATGCACAAGGCCCGTGCAAACTCAAGCAAGACAAAATCCCAGGATGGAGATGGGGAGATGGACACAAAGTCCCGTCCCTACCTGAGGACCTGTTAACATTTGGTGCTGCTGGAAGAGGGAGGGTCAGTTTTCCTTAAGGATATGAGCCGTGGTAGGTCAGCCACTCTCTAGGCCCCACAGCCAAGAGTATTTTAGCAATACAAATCGGACTTTATGGGAATGAGAGAGACTCAGAGAGAGAGAGAGAGAGAGAGAGAGAAAGGGGGGGGGGCAGGGAGGGAGGGCACAAACTTGGGTGGGTAGGGAAATGGGGGTGGAGATGGAAGGGGTTGGGGGAGGTAAGAGTATGTTAAAATACATTCTATGGAATTCTCAAAGAATCAATGAAAATATTATTTAAAAATCAGTAGTCAATGTCGACATTAACAAGCTGAAAAGCTACATTGGGTCTCATCTATCGTCCTCACTTGGGGGACATGGGGAAATGAAGGGATGTGGCCTGTGGATCCACAACCAGCTAGAGCAGTGAGTCTCAACCTTCCAAAGCTATGACCCTTTAATACAGTTCTTATCTTGTAATGACCCCCCAACCCTAAAGTTATTTTTATTGCTATCTCGTAACTAATTTTTGGTACTGTTGTAAATCGTAATGTGAATATGTGATATGCAGATAGTCTTAGGTAACCCCAGGAAAGGCCCCCAAAAGGATTACAACCCACAGGTTGGGAACTGTTGAGCTAGAGGCTGATTCTTTATCCCCTGAGGCTATCAAATTTCTGTTGCATCTTAGGTGGTTGAGGGCAGGGTTGCAATGGAACCTCTCCTCATCATTGGAGGTGCTTTCCCTGTCCCATGAGTCACAGGCCGATCAATTAATTTTTGGGAAGGGCATTATAAATGCATAGTGATTTACTATCGATTGCAAGTGGATGTCTTGGCCACTGGAAAATTGGTAGCAAAGCAAATAGTCAGAGTGAATCCTCACTTAGAGGAGGCAAAAAGCCACCCACTGCAGAGACAAAGTCCAAAGACTCGGTGAGGAAGCATTGAGAACAGAGGCTGATGAGACTGTGTGGAAGGACAGTGCATGCAGGTGTTGGCTGTGTCTCAGGTTGCAGGCCTGGAATCAAGGATGAGTTGGAATATCTAGTTAGCCTGACCAGAGCAGAAGTCTCAGTTAGAAATGGAACAGCTGAGGGTACAGCAGGTCTTGAAGACAGCCAACACAGAATTAGCGACAACACAGAATTAGCTGAGGTGTCCTCCACCCACCTGTGTATTTATAGTGATGAGATGGGGGATGGTAGCTGGGTGGTACAGGATATAAAGAGTAGACTTCTTTCTTTGGTGGGCCAGAGAAATGCCATAGTTTTGTGGGATGCCTATCATTTGTATACACATCTGTTCTCCAAAACTCTATATAATACGACCCTCACCCTTTCTTTAGACTTTTGTCTTCACCAATGGACCTGGTTGGTTTTGCTTATGCAGCCCTTTTGACAATTGGAACTATTTTGGGATATAAGCGAAGAGGTAAGCCTTTCCCTCTCTCTCTCCCTCCCCCTCTCTTTCTCCCTCTCTCCTGCCTCCCTTCCTGATAATAGTGTCTCATGAAGCTCAGGCTGGCTTCAAGCTCACTACTGATCTGCCAAAGTGTTGGGATTGTAGGTGGGCACCTACCATGTCCTGCACAAATGCAACAAAGGAACTTAGTGGGGAGCCGGTGGCTGTAGTGGAGGTTTGTGGCTGTAGTGGAGGTTTGTGACTGTAGTGGAGGTTTGTGACTGTAGTGGAGGTTTGAGACTGTAGTGGAGGTTTGTGACTGTAGTAGAGGTTTGAGACTGTAGTGGAGGTTTGAGACTGTAGTGGAGGTTGTGACTGTAGTGGAGGTTTGTGACTGTAGTGGAGGTTTGTGACTGTAATGGAGGTTTGTGATTGTAGTGGGGGAATTGGTGTTTGTAGTGGGAAGTTGGTGGCTGTAGTGGGGAGTTGGTTGCTGTGTTGGGATCTCCTGAGGGTCTGTGAGCAGGACAAGAATCTCTTGATGTCTTTGAGGTGGCTGAGAAACAGCATGCCTTGGGAGAGATTCATGGAGAGAAGGGAGTTATGTGGGGCCAAGCCTTCTGTCTTTCACAAAACTAATTTCACAAGCAATTGAATTTCATAATTAATTATGCACAAAATTTTCCCCACAAAATAAATACTAAGGATATAAAGTACTTAGCTACTTAATTTTTATAGTTATAAATATTTATGAACTTTATAGTCAAATTTCTATTGTTTTTATAGGTAGATTCTTCTATTTTTTAATACATTTTATTTAATTAGAAATGATCTTATTTTATATTTCAGTCCCAGTTCCCGCTCCCTCCCATCCTCCCATGTCCCCCATTGACCCCCCATACCATCCCATCCCCCATCCACTCACTAGGGAAGGTGAGGCCTTCCATGAGGGATCATCAAAATCTGTCAAGTCATTTGGGGCAGAGCCTAGGCCCTCCCCTGTGTATCTAGGCTAAGAGAGTATCCTTCCATGGGATGAACTCCCGAAGTCAGTTTGTGCGTTAGGGATACATCCTGGTTCCATTGCCCAGGGCTCCTAGATCACACCCACATTCAGGAAGCCTGATTTGGGTCTATGCTGGTTCCCCAGCTGTCAGACTGGGGTCCATGAATTCCTACTTTCCCAGGTCAGCTGTTTCTGTGGGTTTTCCCAGTGTGGTCTTGACCCATTTGTTGGTCATTCCTCCCTCTGAAGCTGGATTCCAGGAGTTTGGCTCAGTGCTTGGCTGTGGATCTCTGCATCAGCTACTGGCATTTAAGGTAGTCATCATTCTCATTATAGGAGAAGGGCGTTTAAGGGTAGCCTCTGCATTATTGCTTAGGGTCCTAGTTGGGGCCATCTTTGTGGATCTCTGTACAATTCCCTAGTGCCAGATTTCTCTTTAAATCTATAGTGGCTCCCTCTGTTGATGTGTCTCTTTTCTTGTTCTCCTCTATTCCTCTCCCCACTCAATCTTCCTGATCCCTCATGTTCTCCTCCCCCTCATCTTCTCCCCTCCTCTTTCTCCTCCCTCCCTCCCCCTTCCCCCCATGCTCCCAATTTGTTCATTGGCTCTTGTCTTTTCCGCTTCACTGAGGGACCGTGTATTTCTCTTACGGACCTCCTTGTTTTCTTGCTTCTCTGGAGGTTTGGATTGTAGGCTTGTAATCCTTTGCTCTATGTCTAATATCCATATAGGAGTGAAGACATACCATGTTTGTCTTTCTGTGACTAGATTGCCTCACTTAGGATGGTTTCTTCTAGTTCCATCCATTTGCCTGCAAATTTCAAGATTCCATTGTGTAAATGTACCACATTTTCTATATCCATTCTTCAGTTGAGGGGCATCCAGATTGCTTCCAGGTTCTGGCAATTACAAATAATGCTGCTATGAACATAGTGGAACAGACATCCTTGTTGTATGAATGTGCATCCTTTGGGTATATGCCTAAGAGTGGAATTGCTGGATCTTGAGGTAGACTGATTACCATTTTCTGGAGAAACCACCATACTGTTTTCCAAAGTTGCTGTACAAGTTTGCATTCCCACCAGCAATGGAGAGTAGATTCTTTTTTATAATTAATTTTCTTTTGTTTTTTAGAATGGGCCTGACTATGTAGCCCTAGCTGACCTTGAACTGACAAGAGATCTTTTGGCTTCTGTCTCCTGAGTGCTGAGATTGAGTGTGTACCACCACACTCAGTTTTTTAAAAAAGCATTTAAAAATTAATTATAGGCAGGTATAGTTAGATTGTAGAGTATTTTAGAGATAGTCCCATTGAAAGACCCCCAGAGTGGGGAGACCCTCACTCAAGTCTCTGGATAAGCCGACGCCCCAATAATTTAAGAGAGATGGTTCTTGCTGCAAGCACATGAGGTTTATTCGGGGAACCAGTGCACTGGGGCCGAGCTCATGACCCTCGCAGGAGCAGAGGAGTTCGACCCGTAGTAGCTGCAGTCGGGGGTTTTTAAAAGGGAAAAACTGAATCGGGGAGTTAGGCAAACATCATAAACATAAAGGATGAGGAAGTTAAATGATAGCTTATGTCTTAGCAGGAAGGTTATCTCAAGCAAGCATTCGTTGGGCATTGTTAACATTGAGCAGGAATGTGGTGAGCTAGTTCCTGGATCAGGGAGGGTTATCTCTTAAGTTTACCTTGAGGTCTCCGGTTTCTCAGGAGAGGGCAGAAGGGCAAGTCACTCTGTGATGGCTAGTCACTAGGGGTCTAAAAATGTTGAGTTGGGATCCCTCACCATGAGCTGTAGAGAAGAATTTGTGTTTTGCATTTGTAGGATAGAATATTCTGAATTTCTCTTTAGATCTCTTTGATCTGTGGTGGAGTTTTACAGATCTCTCTTTGTAGTCCTGACTGTCCTGGAGCTTACTGTGTAGACCAGGCTGGCCTTAAACTTACAGAGATCCTCCTGCCTCTGCCTCTTGAGTGCTGGGATTAAAGGCATACACCATCACACTTGACCTAGTTCTTATAAACGTGTGGATTTTTTCTGATTGGTTGGAATGTTGTCTGTTCTCCTCTGTCTTCCCGGACAGCATCAGGGGGTTTGCTGGTGTGCTGCTGGACATGGTGGACTCCTTCCTAGTTCTCCTTGTTCATGTCTTCCTATCATGAAGATTGTCCTTTGCTGTCCTTGTCATAGAGCCACCTCTCCCTCTTATGTAGTGTGACTGGCAGTTTCTGTCTCCTTGTCTAGACTGCCTCTGGAGATAGCACCTGGTCACTGGACCCCAGGTCACAGAATGACAGCCTCGGATTCCTCTCTATGGCTGTCTGTGGTGTCTTCAACTGACTGGCAGAAGAATCCGTGTCCCCAGGACCTACAACTGGGCTTGAGATTTGTGAGGACATCAGGCTTTCCCAGGGCTGTGGGGCTTAGGTCTGATGAGGCTTCTGCTTCCCTTCAGCCATCCTCAGACTGTGCATCTAGAACAGTGTGAGCGTGGCTTACGTTAGTGTGTTTCTGTCTATTTTTCTGGTACTTTTTGGGTGTCTTCTCACCCTCTTTACAAATTTTCAGTGTTCTTCCTCTGGTTCCCTTCAGAATGGAGCCTACACAGAGGCAGCCTCTAGTCTGCCACCTTACCCCAAATTTACTTACTTTTTAAATTTTTTTCTTAAATAATCTCTCTCTCTCTCTCTCTCTCTCTCTCTCTCTCTCTGTGTGTGCGTGTGTGTGTGTGTGTGTGTGTGTGTGTGTGTGTGTGTGTGTGTGTGTATGTATCTGTCTGTCTGTCTGTTGCTGTAGGGTGTTCACCAGAGAAACCTGTTGGGACATGGGTTTAAACCAATAGAAAGTCTTTATTAGCTGACCAGGAACCACACTGAGTGTTCAGGATCCCACTGTAGCCCTGAACCTTTCCCAGAGTGAGCTTTTAAGCACAAAATCTATGTTCTCAGTTGACATACTCAGTTAACAAGAAATTAGCCAGAAGCAGAGCTACCAAAGCCAAAAAGCAAGGTTAGTACATTGACAGACCTTCCTGGAACTATAGACATGGATGGGATAGGGCTTTGTTTTCATTTTGGCAGGCGGTGCTGTCTACATGCTGAGTTTTACAGCCTGAATGGCACTTGCATCATGGAGTCAGTTGTGCTAAGGTCTGGGTGCCTACTAAGTTCTTGGACCTTGTTATACCATGTCTATCTGTCTGTACCTACATTCGCATATGGATGACTATAATTTGTGAGCCCAGCTGCATAGCTTAATTCCCTATGGGTGTTTAAAATATAGAGATACTTCAGCTTCCACCTGGGAGTTCTAATCTAAAAGATCTTAAATTAGTTGGCTTCTCTAAAGCAAGGATTACATGCAAATTTTCCACAGTGTCTCCAGTGTGCAGCTCTCTGTCCAGAGCGTAGGAAGTGCTTAGCATTCATCATGGTGCATTGGGGTGGGTGGCTTGACTAGATGCAGAGTGGCTGTGTCTTCTACTTTCTCGGTGCAGTCCCCTTTTGTTTCTGATTACTGATATTTTTAAGACTAGAAGATGATTTTTCAAGATAAAGCCATTGCTTAACCTACATAGCACTTCTCTCCTCACCCTTGTAAGATAAACATATTTCCTGTTGTCACAACCCCTTAGTAAAAAGGAGATTGGGAGGGATGTTGGAAGAAAAGGAGCAACCGAGGAAGACTTTCTTACTCTGACATGTGATGCCTACCTCTGCAGTGCCGTGTTTGTGTTCTCCTGCCTCGCATTTAGTGTTTTGCAGGAAATGACCTGTGACGAGGTCCATCATTAGTTCGCCTTCATCCCTGTGGTCTTTTGAAGGAAAATGCCCTTCCAAAGGTAGTGGTACTGTGATGAGGTGTGGCTTTGTTGGAGTAGATATGGCCTTGTTGGAGGACGTATATCACTGTGTAGGTGGGTTGTGAGGTCTCATATATGCTCAAGATACCACCCAGTGTCTCAGACCACTTCCTACTGACTACAAAATGTAGGACTTTCAGCTACTTCTCCAGCATCATGTCTGCCTGCATACCACAATGTCCCACCATGATGATAATGGGCCTCTGAACTATAAGTGAGCCACCTCGAATAAATGTCTTCCTTTATAAGAGTTGATGTGGTCATGGTGTCTCTTTACAGCAATAGAAACCCTAAGACAATCGCCTTAAGACGCCCAAGTAAGAGAGTTAGACTTATATGTTAGATTTAAAATGATGGAATGAATTCCTTTCATTTTTCAGCTTTCTCTCTCTTTTGCATTTTCCTTTTCTTTTATTTTTTAAGGCGGATCTGCCTGTCCGGGAGTATTCTGTAGACCAGGCTAACCTCTAACTCAGAGATCTACCTGCTTTTGCCTCCTGAGTACTGGGATTAAAGGTGTGTGCCACCATACCTGGCTGCAGTTTTCTTTTCCTCTTCTTCATTTTCAAAATACTTATTCTCATTATTTTTAGTTGTATATAAGTATGGGTATGTACACATGAGCGGCAGGTGCCCAAGGAGCTGTGCAAGAGCAGTACTCACTATTAACTGCCGACCCAGCTATCCAGCTCATGTAATCCCTCTCTCTCCCTCCCGCCACAGGTGGAGTTCCATTTTTGATTGCTGGTCTTTCTGTTGGCTTTTTTGCTGGATATGGAGCCTACCGTGTCTCCAATGACAGACGGGATGTCAAAGTGTCATTGCGTAAGTGACATGCTTTCCCCAGTTACAGAGGATCAACCTGGAAGATGCCCCCTTCGGACTTTGTACCAGGCTTACTAGAAAACGAACTGTCAAAGTTAAGTGTCTGTGAGTCTTTGTCAAGATTGAGTATAATTCTTGTTGCTTTCTAGACAGAAGTGATCAAAAATCATAGTAATAATGACTTCCCACCTTATTTTTCTATAACACATGCTGTAAGAAATTGAATCAGAATAAGGATGGAATTATGACTAGATTTTCTTTTAGCTTTCTTGGGTGTACACTGAATGTGGTTTTCAGGTTCCAGTGAGCATTCCTTTATGCTGCCTTATATCATTCTGTTCAGTGCACAGATGGCTTTTCTGTACAGCTATGCCTTAGGACTGTCTAAAAGAACAGTACTTTTACCTGCTCATAAAGCACCTTTCTCTTCCTGGGCTCAGCAAGAGAATGCCTACTGCTTAATCCCCCAGGGTACCTGGTTTTAGTTTTTTCCACTAGTAAGCACTAATGATGCTTAAAATTCTAATTCATGGTTTTGGGTTTCAGTTACAGCTTTCTTCCTGGCCATGATAATGGGTTTGAGATTCAAGAGGTCCAAGAAAATAATGCCTGCTGGCCTGTTTGCAGGCTTAAGGTAAGAACCGCTCTGATCTATGCTTTCCTGTGGAGCATTTCCAAGTGGTGACAGTCTACGGCAGTACCACCCTGAATATGCCCAGTCTCACTAAAGTGTGGCTAATTTTGTGACGAATTCATTTTCATGGGGATGGAGAAATGCTGTTCCTGCAGAGGACCAGGTTTGGCTGACAACTAGTTCCAAGTGACCCAACACTCTCTTCTGGCCTCCATGTGTCCCAGGCATAGATGCATGCAGGCAAACCATTATTGCACATAAAATAAAGATAAATATTTTAAAAAAGAAATAAGTTTTCATGCTGGAGAAGCGACTCAGCAGTTATGAGCACTTGCTGCTCATAGGAAGTGAACTGGGTTTCCAGAACCTACATCAGGTGCCTTACAATCATGTGCAACTTCAGATCCAGGGGATCAGGTGACATCTTCTGGACTTTGCAGGCACCAAAACAGACACACAGACACAGACAGACAGACAGACAGACAGACACACATACACAGACACAGACAGACAGACAGACACACACTAGAATAAATCTTTAAAAAACATTTTAAAAGAATTAACTTTCATGTGAAAGGTCAAATGGTTATTACGATAAGTATAACTATAACAGAGGTAAGCCACCATGGATTCATCAGTCTTTGGAGTGACAGCATTCCTCTTTGGTGCACTTTGTAGTATCCAATCAGATGTACACATTTATCTTTATCAGGCTAAAGAGTTCAGTTCCCAATCAATTTTCCTCAAGATTTCTCCACTTGTAGCAGTAAATTGATATAGTGACAATTTAACTCATTGAATTTTGAAGGGAGATTTTCTTTTCTTTCCTTTTGTTTTTAAGTAAATAATCTCAAATTTCTCTTAATTTGATAGAGTATATTCATTTCATTCCATTGGTTTGTTTATTTATTTGGTGGGGTGTTTAGTGTATTACTTGCTTTTCTGTAACTGTGATAGATTATCCTGACAAATAGCAACCTAGAGAAGAGGACATATTCCAGGGGGATGTTCCAGAGGGGATGCTGTCCTTCAGGTCAGCCTGTTCTAGAGGGGATGCTGTCCATCATGTCAGCCTGTTCTAGAGGGGATGCTGTCCTTCAGGTCAGCCTGTTCTAGAGGGGATGCTGTCCATCATGTCAGCCTGTTCTAGAAGGGATGCTGTCCTTCAGGTCAGCCTGTTCTAGAGGGATGCTGTCCTTCAGGTCAGCCTGTTCTGGAAGGGATGCTGTCCATCATGTCAGCCTGTTCTAGAGGGGATGCTGTCCATCATGTCAGCCTGTTCTAGAGGGGATGCTGTCCTTCAGGTCAGCCTGTTCTGGAAGGGATGCTGTCCTTCAGGTCAGCCTGTTCTAGAGGGGATGCTGTCCTTCAGGTCAGCCTGTTCTGGAAGGGATGCTGTCCATGTCAGCCTGTTCTAGAGGGGATGCTGTCCTTCAGGTCAGCCTGTTCTAGAGGGGATGCTGTCCATCATGTCAGCCTGTTCTAGAGGGGATGCTGTCCTTCAGGTCAGCCTGTTCTGGAAGGGATTCTGTCCATCATGTCAGCCTGTTCTAGAGGGGATGTGGTCAGCTATGTGAGGTCAGGCACAGCAATACTAGGTGAGACAGGATCTGGAAGTAACGTGATCACGTTCTGTCCACACAGAGAGAAAAGAAAGAGGGCCAAACTACAAACCTCAAAGCACGCCCTCTGGTAACACACTTCCTCCAGTCAGGCTTCACTTCCTAAAGAAGCCATAACCTTCCTAAACAGCACCACCAGCTGGAGACTAAATGTTCTCCATGAGCCTGTGGGGCACACTTCTCGTTCCCACCGCTAGCTATTAGTTAGTAACTGTTACCTTTCAATGCTGAGGACTGAACCCAGGGCCTTGCACAGGCCAGGCAAGCACTCTGCCACTGAGCTGCATCCCCAGCCCTGATCCTGTGATTCTGTCCATGAAATGAAACATATTATCCAGTAAAATATTCTGATTCCTCCTGGGAACTGTCCTTGAGTGTTGAAAACCTTAAACATTGCCTTCCTTTGGTACATTTTAAAGGAATTATTTCAAAGAAGAAGTATGTAAAGCCTAATGTTCACTGGGGCTATATTTCTAATAGAAAATAGAAGCCAGAAAATTAAAGCTGCTCAGAAATTCACTAGAAAATAAATGAAAATATTTTATCCATTTAAGGAATATTAAACAGAAATTTGAATATCATACTTGAAAAACCAGTTGGCTTCATGGGAAATTAATACTGTCATAATAACATATAAAAAAACAGATCAAATACTGTTTGACCCAAATTTTGAAGATGTCTGTGGCAAAAACCAACACAAGACAGAAATACTTGAAAGTATCAGTAGTATTTAGCCATGGGTTAAAGCCTCCTGAATAGTTTGATGGTCTTTTCTTGCTGTAGAATTTTCTAGAGTGTCTGTGTATGTGTCTAGTGTGATGGTTTTTATTTGGGGGAGGAGTTGCCAAAGGCTACTTTCCAATAGTGTCCCTGACGTGAAGATGATGGTTGATGCTGGGAAGAATCAAAGTGGGGTTAGTGATGAAGAAAGGGTCCTTGTGATGGAACATTCCTGATACTCTTTAAAAAACGCCCCCACTGAATTACTCGTTGGGTCTTTTTTCTTTTGTAAAAAGATTTATTTTTGTGTGAGTATGTGTGTGTGCATACATGAGTGTCCACACATGTGTAGACATGTGTATGCCATGAGTATGCAAGTGACTACAGAAGCCAGAAGACATGGTCAGACACATTGGGACTGGAGTTCTATATCATTTATTGTTACAAGCATCTGCCATGGATCCAGGAACTGAACTCAGCAGCAATTGCTTTTAACTGATGAACCATCTCTCCAGCACCTTTGGTTATTTTTTCAAGTTGCTTTTCTTGGGTAGATTTTGGAAGTTTACATTTCTACTGGTATTTCTCCCTTAATCCCCTATCCAAGGTTTTCAGAACAGGGGGTTTGGCTTCTCTCATCTGTTCAGGAAAAATTTTTAAGTTAAAACACAGGGAAAATAAATTCCCTGCTGCTCTAAAGGGTGCTAATAGAGCCCTCAGAGGCCACAGATAGAACATGACAGGGAGTACATGACCTTCCTGTCCATCGGAGTGACCTTCATCTCTCTTCCTCTTCTCTTTATTCAGCATGGTGATGATCCTGAGGCTGTTCATACTGCTGCTTTAGCATCTAGCGGGACCAAGAGCCAAACTCCTATCATTCTCCTGTACCTGGCAGAACAGTTTCTTGCATTTCAAAGATCAATTTAAATAGGTGGTAAATGTCTTACACTGAAGTGAAAATAATGTCACCCTAATATTGAAAACTAATTGGCAAAATGTCCCCCCTCCTTTTTTTATTTAAAGCACAAATTTTAGAGGGAATGTTGTCCATCATGTCAGCCTGTTCTAGAGGGGATGCTGTCCTTCAGGTCAGCCTGTTCTAGAGGGGATGCTGTCCATGTCAGCCTGTTCTAGAGGGGATGCCGTCCTTCAGGTCAGCCTGTTCTAGAGGGGATGCTGTCCATCATGTCAGCCTGTTCTAGAGGGGATGCTGTCCTTCAGGTCAGCCTGTTCTGGAAGGGATGCTGTCCTTCAGGTCAGCCTGTTCTAGAGGGGATGCTGTCCATCATGTCAGCCTGTTCTAGAGGGGATGCTGTCCATGTCAGCCTGTTCTAGAGGGGATGCTGTCCTTCAGGTCAGCCTGTTCTAGAGGGGATGCTGTCCATCATGTCAGTCTGTTCTAGAGGGGATGCTGTCCATCATGTCAGCCTGTTCTAGAGGGGATGCTGTCTTTCAGGTCAGCCTGTTCTAGAGGGGATGCTGTTCTAGAGGGTCTTTCATGAGTTGTTATGTATGCACTTGCTTTGTCTCATTTTGTGTGTGGAATTTGGGGGCTTGCTGCTTTCTGATTTTGACAGTTCCAAACACTTATGACTCAAATAAGCTTAAGTTAAACTGCAGCCTGTCAGGTAATGGGATTCTTGGAGTGAACCACAGGGCATGGTAATGAGTTGTATGTCAATCTGATACATTAGGGATTTTATTTGTATTGTTACTGCACTGAAGGAATTCCATTCTTAGCTCATCTGTGTCCTAGCAAAATGTACTGAGCATTCCAATAAAATACATTTTATTTTCAACCTCCTCATTCATTTCTGTGTCTTTTCTGGAAACTCAGTCGTCTTTGACATTTGCATGTTTCACTGTTAGTAAAAAGGGTGTCAGGGAGTGCTGTTACACTAGCTCTGCATATCTCTCAGGAGAGTCTCCCTCTCCCCCCACATCAATCACCACTTCATTTCAAGAGCAGTTATAGCGGTAATGTCCAGGGCAGTTTTATGGACCAGGTGGCCCCCCTGGAGATCCTGCTCATTTTCCATTGGTTCGTGTGGTCCCTGGGAAATGAGTCTTCCCCTGAGGACTGTGTCTCACCCCTGAGGGGTTTCAGTGGTTAGCGTGCCCTCCAGGGCATCAAGGCCACAGTTTCAGTCCTTCAGACAGTGGCCTTTGGTGAGAGGAGAGGGGTGGAGAGCCCCAGCTGCCAGGCTGGTAGGAGAGGAGCTCACTGCTGACTTACAAGCAGGCTTAAATCTCAGCCATAAGGAACTGAGGGAGGGAGAAAGCAAACCCACTAGGTGAACCCAATAGGAAACCTGTGCAGACTCCTTTGGTACACTTTAAAGGATGTCCTTTAAAATAGGAAACGAAAAAGAAAAGAGAAGAGAAGAGAAGAATGCCCACTGACCCAGCAATGCCAAAGAGATTGCTACCACAGCTGGGCTGGCAGTCACAGGTGTTTGCTTCTTCCCCAACAGCCAAGGCTGACAGTGGCTTCTGTTCATGCCGTGGCTGATGCTGAAATAAAGGCAAATTGTGACTGCTTGTAGAAAAATTTACTATGTGTATGAGACACAGTAAATGACGGAAAGGTTGAGAAGGTAGTTGAAGCTGTGCTGCATCCTCGGCTTTTGTCAAAAGGCAATGAAAGTGAATGATGGTGATGTGTGTATTATGTGTTTGTGTTTTCATCTGTGAGGGTCAGCAAGGTGGCTCAGCAGGCCAGGTTACTTTCAGCTAAACCTGACAACATGGGTTCCTGAGTTCAATCCCCAAAGCCTACAGGGTATAAAGAGAGTTGTTCTCTGACCTCCGCACTTTCCAGGGAAAGCAGAGGTGTATACACACACACACACACACACACACACACACACACACACACACACACACACACACACAAATAAATGTAGTGAAAACCCTTTGACTTCCACTCACTATATATAAGTCTATTCTAGCACTGTACACAGAATGAAGCTACTATAGTGCTCGTGTTTTTAAGAAACATGCCTTGTTCAAATTTGAATATGTTCTTCGATGAAGAATGTCCTTCTGTATCTATGTTTCTCTTACTGGTTGACGAATTGGCCAGTAGCCAGGCAGGAAGTATAGGCGAGGTTGTCAGAGGAGGGGAATTTTGGGGAGAGGACACAGAAAGAATCCGCCAGAGAAGCAGCTGCCATGTAGCTACTGGGAAGATAGGATGCACCATGCCAGGTGTTCTTTGGTAATATAAGGCCATGTAGAAATACATAGATTAATAGTTATGGGTTAATAATTAAGAGAGAGCTAGCCAGTAAGAAGCCTGAGCCATTGACCAGCAGTTTAATAATATGTCTCTTTGTGCTTATTTGGGGCTAATCAGCTGAGGGACCAGGTGGAACAGGAACTCCAACTATGTTTTTTCACAGTCCCAATGCATTTATCATCAAAGGGAGGCTTCTTCTGGCTTCCAGGCTGGAGAAATCTGTTAATTGTGGGTATTTGACTGGTTCTAACCTTGAAGTCCTACCATGTAAAAGACCACAACCCATGAGATAATGTAGTGAAATAAATACAAAGGAGACATATTCTTACAAATGAGAAAAATGTAGAAATTGATATTACCTGGTGATATGGCTCAGTGGTGAAGGAGGGTTCCCACTCTTCTAGAGGACCTGAGTTCTGCTACTGCCATCAGGTGACTCACAGTCACCTGTAACTCCTGCTGAGGGGATCTGACACCTTCTCCTGACCTGCTCCAGGACCTGCACACATCTGGGCGTGTGTGTGTGTGTGTGTGTGTGTGTGTGTGTGTGTGCACGCGCGTGTGCGCGCGTACACGCACGCGACCATGTTTCAAAGTGTATTTGTATGTGTATGTTGAGGGTGTGTATATGTGTATGAGTGTGTGTGTGTAAGTGTGTGAGTGTACAAATTTTAAAAGAAACAAATAATAAAATTTGTATTCTGCTTTGTGGGAAAGGGTGAGGATAATCGAATTTCCTACATTTTCTGTTATGGCTAAATGATACTGCCTTGTACGATGCAAGTTGTAATGTTTTTATGAGTAATAAAAGTATTCACAAGCTGTAACCAACTGATCTCATTTTTATTAATTAAATTTATTTACTTATTTTACAAGTTCCATATATTAAGCACATCTGCAAAGAATTTTTTCCAATTCAATTCATATTTATAAGATCCTGGAAATTGGACCTGGCCCTGTCTTTTGAGGGGGACACATTGTAAACTTAATATACTCTATAGTATAGTTGACAAAATGTGGCACTTGCTGGATAGAATGATGGATAATTTGGGGTTGGCTACACTATTTCACTTCCATATTTGTTAGGAATTGTTGTCAACATTCTAAATCAATTTACTGAATTAGTAATATGTCATATTGTGTGCCCATTTGTAGGACTTGACACACACAAAAGCCCATGAGAGAAACACATTAAACACACAATGTGAAAATAACCTGAGTCCCCCTTATTGAGAAAATACAACAGAAGCTGAAGGTAGAAGAGTCTAACCCAGCACAAACCACACCCAAAGGTCTTTCTGTGAGAAGGTAAAATCCAGGACACCTGTGTCATCTCTCCTTAGCTTAAGCACATTCCCTCAGTATTTGGGAATGCTTATGTTAATAATCTTTATTTGTCTGAAGCTCAGCTGTTTGTTCTGTGCCTTACCTGGTGGCCCAGGCAGCAGAAATCCTCCCTGCCCCATCAGTTGGCCCTTTACAGCTTCTCCCAGCTAAGCTAAACAGAGATTTCCCACTTGCTCTCGCCTTTGCCTGCCACTCCTGAAAACCTCACAGGGAGTTTCTTGTAACAGTCCACCCTGACTGACACACAGGGAGTTAAACCCGTCTGAATTCTGTTCTTCAAGCTCTCCACTAGCAGCATTGAAAAGAAAACACATTAACAAACCTGTTTAGCAACAGAGGCATGACTTTGCTTTTTTTCTTGTAGTTTCTCATAGAAACTTCTGGCCTCTGGACAATGTGGGAGCAGCTTTTCTCTTATTGGATTGTCTCCCCTTAACTGGGAAGGGCTTATTCAAATTAGCAAATAGCTTATACAACATCAGGAACTCTTCTGTGATATGTGGAGTTATTTAGAGGGAAAAGCTTTTTAAGGTAAGTAATAAATCAAATTTTCTAACACACACATACACACACACACACACACACATACACGGCCCTTTGGCACCTAGAAAATGCTTTAGCACATGAAAACGTATGCTCTGTGCTCACATTATACAGACTTGGTGTGCTTCAGGACAGTTTTAAGAACTGTTGATGCTGTTTCTGCTGGATGCATTGTTAGAGATGTAAACATGAAGGGTTTAGAAAACTAGGGCTGAGAATTTAATGGTAAGAGACAAATTAACTTCCTATGGAGGAAAGAGAGGGGTAACAGCCCAGACAAACTGGAGTCATGTCCAGGGAAGGGGAGCCTGGTACTGATGCCAGAGTTGCTTTCCCTGTAGAAGGAACCAATGTACAGTTGTCAATTGTGATGCCAAGGCAAGACGTGAGGACAGGGAGAATTAAATAGACGAGGAAGGAAAATGAACTCACCTCTGCTGACTGAGATTTTGACCAAGATCACAAACTATGTTTGCAGTCAAGACATTTGTCTTGATTATTTGCCATTTTTGACTTCTATCTTATCAAACTATAAACCAGTGCAATACTCCTCATAAACTGCATATAATTTAGTTTATGGGGGAAAGTCTTTGGATAAAAATAAGCATGTCTAAACTTATTGCCTAACCTTTAAATTTTTAGTTGTATTTACAAATCTAAATACAACTATGTGTGGATAGCAATTGTCAAGACAGCTTGCCCCACCCATACACACACTTGGGTATATACCACTATTCTTTTCCTTTTCAGAAATATTGAGTGTAGACCCACTATATAAAATAACTGAGTTCATCCAGATTCTTGCAATTGAGTATATCATTATACTTCCACCCTAACCATCCCTGCTGCTAGTCTCCTTCCTTGCCCCAAACAGTCCTCCTCTTTTCTCCACCTTCCTCCCCCACCTCTCAAATCTAAAACAAAACGATTTTCAGGCAATGATTTTTCCGTTTATTTTCATTCTTTCATTCTGTGTCAAGGCATCTTGGCCACTTCTGTTCTCCGCATCTTCTCTCTTTCTAACTCCATCCGCTTCCCCTCTCAGACACATTACCCCTCCCAACTTCTTGTTATCCTCTCGATGTTCTGCCCACTGAGTCTGATTAGTTTGACCCAAATACACAAGGATATGGAATCATCCACTGGGTCATGTGCAACCTCCCAGGAGTGATCACCCAAAAGAGAAGCGACTCTCCCTGTCTCAGCAGCCCTGGACTGTCAATTGTTCTTCCATTGGGGATGGAGCACTGGGACTATCCTCCCCTCAGTACTAGGATTTTTAACTGGATTGATTTTGTGCAGATAACCGTGCTTACTATGAGTACAATTGTGTGATAGCAATATCATGTCAGGAGAATTCTGTTTCACAGGACCGCTCCCCAATTTTTTTGCTTGTAAGTTCTTTCTACTTTCTCTTCTCTAATGTTCTCTGAGCCACGAGTGGGAGGCAGGGCTTTTCTTAATGAATTTCAACTTTGCTTTATGCTGACATACCCTGAAATTCTTCTCTGTGGCATCAGTCTAAACATCCCAGTTCTAGGGAGAGGAGTCTCTGAGTACATTCCCTACCCTCAGGCTGTGGCTGCCCAATGTCCCTCCAACCTCAGCAGTGGGAATGCAGCCTAAGCTCTGGCTGGGGGTCGATGAAGGAGCTGGCTTCTCAGGGGCTACCACTTCAGAAGTATGAATGAGAGGGACAAACACTAGAGCATTTGGTGTTAGCTAGAATGCAGGTCTTTGGAATGTGAAAGTCATCAATATTATCATGTTGTGTGGTAGTCCTCTTCACACGGAGTTCCTTAAGTCTTCACTTAAGTAAAGCACTGAGATCCTTTGTCAAACTTTCTGTCTCTGGAGTTCCTCAAAAGCTGCTCACAGAGAGGCATGTATGAACTAAAGGCTCCCTCATTCCCTCTTCAATCTTGACTAGACTGGAGGACTCTTGGAAAATAAGTCCTCAGGACAGCAGCATGGAGCTGGGGGTGGGGTGAGGACTCCAGTGGAGCAGCCCTGACCTTTAGCAGGAGAAAGTCAGTGGTCAAATGCTATGAGGGTGGGAGTGTGTGGTTTCTCACTGAACTCTGTGAAACCATCTGTAAGTGGAGCACAAGGAGCTGGTCCCATGGTGGTTGTAGACAGGGCAGTTACTCCTCAGGACTGGCTGTGGCTGAGGGTCATGTTGAGAGCCCATCAAATCGTCCAGTCTCTCTGTTTCTTATTCTGTTGACTCTAAGGCTGTGTGATACCCTTTGTCCTGGTGGTGAAGCAACATTTGGAAGGCTCTTGTTTGGAAATGGAGAACGTTAGAGGGAGGAGCACTATGATGAAACACTCCAGAGCACGATCCAGTATCAATAATAATAGGATTAGTGAGCAGGTTTTAATCTCTTGGCTCTGAGTCCCCAACAATCAAACACCTGAAGCCAAGAGAACTTTACTCTCCCTTTCGTCCTGCTGCATTAACCCCCTAGTAAGAACATGCAATACTCGCATCCCGAAGTGTAAGAATGATTGAGTGATTGCATCACCAACAGAATTTATAATGTAAAGGTTGGAGCTTAGGAGCTCTGCATCTTAGGTGATGCTATTTAAAGTAACTTTCTATCTTAAATCCAAGCCCACATGCTTTAAAAAATACACCTTTGGTAAAGACAAGGATGGTGTTTCAAGCTGTGCAACATCAAAACTTTCCGAGAAGAAATGTAATGTTATATAATCATCTCTGTGTCTGGGGGAGGAAAGGGAGTTTCCCCCAAGTGGAGCCTTTGATCTCAGTGATGCCTGGATGTTCCAGGAGCCACTGCTTTTTTATCCTGTGGCTGTTTGCTGGGCCCAACTCCAAGAAGCCTGAGGTGGGGAGTGTCACATTTCCTTAATGGACTCAGCAGACTGTCTTATTCATTCCCAATGACCAAATGAGCACAGACATGTGCCTATGTCCACACACACAGCGTACACACACTGAGCTGAAAACACAGCCACGTCCTTAACCCTTTCTGCTCTCTGACAATTCCTACGCTTTTCTATATCACTAAAAAATACTGCATTTCAAACCTACATAGAGATTTCCACCATAATTTGAAAACCAATACTATAATTAATAAGACCTAGACTTTGGTTTTTCATGCAAGAGTGAATACTGGCACAGTGCTTCATTTTGGGCAAGCGCCTCTAGAAACCTCTGTCTCGCCATCCATACACTGAGAATAAATTTTACCAGTCCACTAGGTGCATGTTTCATTAGGATACAACGAAGATGAAGTGATGAGAGTACCCAGTGTGGCAGATGGGGACACCCCTGAACGTGGTCATCAATTCTGTGAAATGAACGCAGCAACACCTCTTTCCCTTGATTTCACATAGAAATGCAGGCACAAAGATGACAATCACAGGCTGAGTAAGCAAGGGATAAGCACTCTGTGTGTGTGGGCAGAATATGACTGTTTTCGAGGGCAACTCAGTTATTCTTAGCATACTCTCTCCGTGCAGTAAAACTCATTCCTGAAGCCTGATCTCTGCTTTTGATCAAACCCTGTCCGACAGCCAAAGGGCTGAGCAGTGCCTGCCGCCCTGCTCGTTGCTGCTAGCCATGTCCTCCGTTTGATGAGCTCAGTTCTGAGCATTCATGCATGAGGAGACAGAGCCTTCTTGGTTTATTCCTCTCCATGATTCTTTATGTCTGTCGCTGGTTTGATGTGATTGTGAACAACGCCTTAGAGTTCTCTGAGGTTAGTCTCCTTAACTGAAAATGGAGAAATAGGCACTTGGTGTGGTCATGTGTCTATTAAAGGCAATGTGTCAGAAGAGATCTGGGCAGGGATGTGGCCCAGGGATGCAGAGCTTGCTAGCATATGCAATCCCTGGGTTAGACCTTCACCAAGGGGGCAGGGCAGATGAGAGGAGGGAAGGGAAGAGAGAAAAAGGGAGTGGGAGTGTAATGGGTGGGACCGTTAGAGGCCTACAATAAACTGCAGTTTGCTGGCCCTGCTTTCCTATTGTGTCCCACACATTATTATCCTCCATTCTGACATATGAAGCAGTTTCCTTTTTTTCTAAGTCACACTTCAGCCAGTGGAGACACTAAACTGGTTTCGTGCAATCTGAAGGTGGCTCCTTTGGACCAAGGACACACTCTTGGAATGTCTCCACCCCTGACATAAGGAAGGTAGACACTCCAGTGTAGTGACTGCTGTCCAAACACCATCACAGGCCAGACTGTAAGAGCAACGTCAAGAACACATCAGAAAGCTCATCCACCATGATCATGTAGGCTTCATTCCAGGGATGCAGGGATGGTTCAACACACAAAAATCCATCAGTGTAAGAGCAACGTGTATTTCGTTCCTGTTTAGAAAACCACGCGGTTGCTGCCATGGCGGGGAAGCCAGTCCTTCACTACTTCGATGGCCGGGGAAGAATGGAGCCTGTCCGGTGGCTCTTGGCTGCAGCTGGAGTGGAGGTCTGTTCTGACTTGAGTCATTTTAAGTCGAGTCTGAAATTGATTTTACCAAACGTGTTTCTCATATGAGACATCAGAGTATCTTCCTGAGTGACCTAGATTAAAAACTGCCAACTATTAATCTATTACCCCAATAAATTATTGTTTTCATTAGCAATCATGAACATTAGAATAAGGACTGGAGAAATGGCTCAGCAGTTAAGAGCTGAGCAATTTACACAGCACACATGCACATAGACACACACCCAGAGAATAAAATAAATCTTCAAAGACACTAAAATAAGTGTAAGTAATGTATCAAAACTTGTGCACTGTATTTAAATTTGAGTCATCAGTAAAAATGTAAATGGAAAACTTATGCCATTTAGAGAAAAAATAGAAACATAGACATTGCCTAGTTGACATTGCTAAGTTACTTTGGTATTTTTGGCATACTCACATATTGTAGTTTTTAGGATAAATTCTATGTCTTGTTTTTTATTATTTGTGTGTAAGTGTGCAGATGCATATGTTATGTGGGCTCACGTGTGGAGGCCAGAGGACAGCCTCAAGTGTGATTTCTCTGGTACCAGCCACCTTCTTCTTTTTTTTTCAGACAGGCTCTTTCACATAGGCCAGGTTGATTGGCCAGGGAGCCCCAGCTCTGCAGCTGTCTCTATGTCTCCAACTCTGTGATTACAAGTGTGCACCACCTCATCCAGCTAGTTTACATGGGATCTGGGAGTCAAACTCAGGTCACTATGCAAACATTTTTCCAAATAAGCTGTTTTCCCCAGCCCAGTTCCTATGCTCAAGAGAAACAATCTGAACTATTTAAGGGTGAAACAGAGACAGAGGAGACGAGACCAAGTCAGTGGGAAGGGAGATGAGTAGAACAAAGTATAATCCTATACACATACACTGATGTACATATATGTATGTATGTGTAAAATGTAATAAAACAACCACTTTATATATTAGCTTAAAAACAATTAAAAGATTAATAAGTAAATCAAAGGAATAAATAACCATCCCCAGAATAGGGATTTTTTAAAAAAGTCATATAGTTTTTAAGTTATATCATTTGACAGTTCAGTTGTATTCAAACATTTTACACTTAGAGGAAAATAAGGGATATAAAATAAAATGTACCTAGGCCAAATGGCATAGCATAATGCTACCAGGCCACAAACCCGTACAGAGTTACTGACCTTAATACTGCAGGAATCATAACACCATGACAAGTACTTATATATATAAACATAGACAAAAGTAATGTGTAAAGCGTTTACTCCCCACATTGCTTAGAATGGAGATTGCAAGTCGATGACTGAGGAGTGCATGAAAATGGGAGCCCCAGGCATCACTGTGTCAGTTTGTGTGGGTCTCCAATGCCCTCTATGGGTCTGAGAATCCAGATCCCCAGCTGCGGCTGTGTTGAGCAGCAGTGGGACCTGCACGAGATGGGGCCCGATTGGAGGAAGTCAAGTCCTAGGATGTCTGCTCTTAAAAGGCCGTGGGCTCCAGCCGCTTTCTCTCTCCTCGCTTGCAGCAGCTGTGTGAATGGTTGGCTCCGGCAGGCGCTGCAAGCCTGAGTGTTCTAGCCAGGTCCAAAAGCAACGAAGGCAGCTGGCGGAGGACTGCACCTCTGAAAGCATGAGTCGAGATAACTTTCCTTCTCTTATGTTATCTCAGGAATTTGCTCCACTATCAGAGTCTGACTGACTTGCATGTGTACACAGACGTTGCATGAATACTTTATGTTAAGGCAACACCAACTCAAGAAAAAAAAATGTCTCGATAATAACCTTCACTTAATGTAAATGTCCAACTTCATGAATTTCATTTTTAAACGTTATATTTTTTGTCTATTGCCACGACAATAAGAGCACACATTATGTATGTAGCCAAATAAAATATTTCTAAATTTAAATGTTTTTTCATTTTCTGTAAGTGTTGTTTAAACATAAGACACAAGCACACACATTAGCTTCAGGCTGATGGCGGTCTGGATCTTCAGCGACACCATCCTCTTCCTCCATATCTTGTCCCCTTGGGAAGTCCTGGGACAGTGACGTCCATGAATTGTTATCCTCTATGAGGACAATGTCTTCTTCTAAGGTGTCTGAGGCTGATCTGAGATGTCACTCTGTCATGAGTTTGCTTGACATCTCTGAAAGCAGATGAAGGAGCATGATTTTCCTCTCTGCAAATGAAGGGTTTTCCATGTCCAGGTCTGTGTGTTCAGCATTAAAGGAATGTTTCTGTGAATGTTCCTAAATGTCCCACTACAGTTCCACGCCTCCTGCCTCTTTTTCCATCTATGCATTCACCATGCAGTAATAACTCTGAAATTCTGCTGCAACCTATGGGACCATGTTTGCAAACACTTCGTGGTTGATGCAGACGTTGTTGGAGAGGGCTTGAGTGTACATGAAATTTGAGATTTCCTTCAAGTGATTAAAATGATGATTTGTAAATAAAAACTTGTTGAAAGTGAGTGAGGGGTATAGCAAGGCACATTATAATTTTCTGTTTACTCCTATGTATATCCAACATGGTAACAGCAGAAGGATAGAAGCATATACTCTTAGGAAACGAATACAAATACAATGAAAATATTCACCCCAGAGGAGGGGTGGGCAGGAGACACAGTACAAACCTTCTATTAACCATGAAACATGTTCATTCATATTATCAAGAGAAGCAGGTTGTTTGCTGGGTCCTGGGAATACAGGGCAAAAACAAAAACAAAAAAAAATGACAGTTGCAATGCTGGCCTTTGGGCATTGTATTGCCAACATAAAAGCCACAGCTCTCATCTTAAATGGAATAAGAGATGGTTTATTCTGGAGCCACTGTGAGTGACCATGGCCCCTGGGAGCCCAGTTTAGGTTACCTCAAATTCCATGTTCCAACAAGAAAGTAGTTTCACAGGGTTTTTATAGTTTTACAGAACAAAAAAAGCTGTAACTCAGAACAAGTTTAAAATGCATTGGTGGGTGCACCAGAGAGGAAGGGACAATGAGACGAGGAGAGCTATTATCCGGTGACATTCTTAACTTTTGGCTCGGTGGAAGCCAGGGTCCTGCTAAGTTAATGGCTTCTAAGAGGTTTCTATTTATTATCATAGGATGCCAATTCTAAGTGAATATCTTCTAAAAGATTTTTATTTATTATCAGAAGATGTGAGCACAGATAATAGTTGAGCATGGAACAGATGTTCTATAAGGCTAAAACTAGCCCAAGATAAAGCAGTTAGTATCTGAACCTGCAAATGACAATCTGTTCACAAAACTGAAATTGAAGTAAGTTCACAAGCCTCCACAGACACAGACTCCTTCCAGGAGTTATTAGTTCACAGCTAGACACAGCATTTTTTCAGGAATTTTCTATTTCAGTATATTTCTATGTATATTTGGTTTAAATACACATACACATACATTTATATATACACATATGAGACAAGGAGTCAAGTTATTTACTGGGTTAAACGACATTTTTCCAACTGTTTGAGCAGAAATGCAGCGGGGATCTCTGTGATTCAGCTGAGTACTGCTTTCTAGAATTGTCACAAGGGAAAAAATCTTCTCAGTACAGGCCAGAGGGACCCCAAAACTGGGCGACAGGTCTTCTGAAAAGGAAGTCATGGAAACTGTCCTTGTCCCTGGGAGGTGGCGGTCAGAAAGGGAGGACTGCAATATGACGTTCTTTCCATCCTTCAGCTGGGCTTCCCCTGCCTCCTCAGCTTCCCAGCAAAGTGTTTGCCAAAGCCTCAGATTAGCACCTTTCACAACCACGTTGCGAACATGTTGATCATGTAATGAGGAAACAAGAACAAAACTGCTTTCTTCATACAAACCAGTGGTCTGTTTTCCCAAGCAACCAGATGGTGGCTTGTGTTTCAAGAGTGAGTTCAGGGCAGGAAGAGCAAGTGGCAATATACTTAATATACAACTGGTGACCTTTCTGAGTAGTTTGCCTCAGTGGGTTAGTCCTGAGATCAACCCAGTGTGAAATACATTCTGTGGATTAGGATACCGAGACACAAGAACACTTAGTAACATGGCCAACGTAAAGAACTTAGCACACTTTAAAGGCCATACCCAACTCAAAAAGCCATCTCTGGACCCAAGGATTTTAGTGACAAAAAAAAAATAGGTAGAGACATTGATTACTTCTTAAATCGGGAATTCAATATAGTTGTGCCCCATTTTTCAGGAGAGGCAATTTTACTTGCAAGACTAAAATAGTGTAGAAGAGGGACCTGCTTCATCCACAGCAGGCTCCCAAGGAGAGAAGTGCTGTGATTCCAACACAAGACTACTGGTAGATGCTAGTCACTGCCCTGTGTCATATTCCATGCTGAAGACACACAATGTTTCTTCTGATCTCATTGGGGATAGGCTGAAATATTATAAATGATAGCCCGAAGGAATGGTCAGCCTTTTCCTTCCACTGGAACTCCTGACTTAATCTACATAGAGTTTCAGAAAGACGATGTCAACTACAAGAAGGAGAAGCAATGTGTTGTGATCACAGTTCTTTTCTTAAAAGATCTGCTCTTAATTCCCACAAGCCATGATTAGTTCACCCATGTACTCACCAAATTAAAAAATATCTCCCTTCTCTTATATTATCTTCAGCTAGGAGTCATTAAAGTGAAAAGCCTGGCGCACAATGAAATTAATTAATAAAGACTTGTTTATTCTTTCTGTATTCTAGTTTGAAGAGAAATTTCTGAAAACTCGGGATGACTTGGCAAGGTTAAGAAATGGTAAAGACAAAGACCTAAATGCTCCCAAGAGGGTTTGTAGTAGAAGCTTTAAAATTAGACAGTAGCTGTGTAACCATAGGAAATTATCAGGTAGCAATTGATGAAAGGGCGGTAAATTGTAAGTCATTGGTCACTGTAAGCAGACCTCGTAAATATCTCAGTATTTGCTGAATCCAACCTCAAAGCCCCATGAATGTCCTCCCTGTGCTTTTCCATGCTTGCTGCAGTTAGCTTGGGTTCCCACACTGCCTTCCATCCACACACAATTCACTAGATGCCAGGAGTAGCTGTGTCAGCTACTTATCTTGAATTCTTTTTTTCTTTTTAAAGATTCACTTTATTTTTCATTTTTGTTCATAAATGTCTTGTGTGAGGGTGTCAGAGTCCCTGGAACAATAGTTAAAAACAGTTGTGAGCTGTCATGTGGGTGCTGGGAATTGAACCCATGTCCTCTGGAAGAGCAGCCTGTGCTTTTATCCTCTGGCCAATTCTCCAGCCTTATCTTGTGTTCTAACAAACTATTTCCCTAGTAACAGTGTATCATAGGATTAATAGGAAGTCTATGCTGGTTATGTGGAATAGTATGAGGGAAGATGAGAGAGAAAGGGGGAAGGTCAACACCTATGGGTGTGGATTTCTGGGCCTACCCAGAGCATACTGACCCTTGGTGTTAGTAAAAACCACATAGGAAAGCAACAGAGAAGTAAGGTTATGATCTTGCCTTGCTGTAGTGATGTAATGGCCCTAGCTAACTGTTGGCTTGTACCTCCCTCACCTTCTTCCTAAAACATATATGAACATGTAATAAACACTCCATCACATACTGTGTAACAAATATAGAATTAGTATTCTGGATATGAAATAAGATATCAATAAAATAATAGGGTAAACTTAGAAGACACAAAAGAATCAGAAAACCAAAAATTAAATGCTATATCATTAAAAGGTTGCTAAGTAATAAGTTGTTTTAAAAATTGTAGTCAATTCATCAAATACATTCTGCTTTGAATATGTCTAGCCATAGAGTATACATACACACATACATATCCATATATATGGAGAGAAAGAGGAGAGAGAGAGAGAAAGAGAGGGAGGGAGGGAAGGAGGAAGGAAGGGAGGAAGGGAAGGAGGGAGGGAGGGAGAGTATATGTCCATAGACACCTTAGTCTCCTTTTTCTTTGCTTCATCCAATAGATGGGAGTTTGATGTTCCAGCAAGTGCCCATGGTGGAGATTGACGGAATGAAGCTGGTGCAGACCAAAGCCATTCTCAACTACATTGCCTCCAAATACAACCTCTATGGGAAGGACATGAAGGAGAGAGCCATGTACAGTATAGTTTATCTCATTATGGGAAAGATTTAGGTCCTACCTTGAGTGAACAGAACCATGACAAAGGACTCATGAACACAAAGCGCCTGAGTGCTTGCGCATGCAAGCACTGACATCAGTTAAGAAGACTACTCTGGAATTGAGGGAAGAATGTGAGGAGAGATGAGGGAAAAATAGGAGGTGTTAGGTTGTCTTATGTACAAGAGGAGATGGTAGAGTCTTCAGAAGCAACAGTCTAGCCAATAGATTTGGACAACGGGAACATCCAAAGGGCAGTCAAGAGAAGGCTCCAAAGACCTAAGGGTGGTTATCTTCTAGTTCTGACAGTTACATCCATGACCATAGGCTACCATGGAAACCTACCATGACTGATTGTGGCTCACAGAGTCTGGTACAAAGACACCAGGGTTGCATGAAGCTTTTTGTGGAATCTGAAGTCTGTTTTAGGGGTGTCAAGACTGATCATGAGGTTTTCTCTCTCCTGATAGAACAACCCATTCAGACTAAATCTTCTCTGGAACTGTGGGCTTTTTATCAGACAGTTAAACACTAAGTCACCAATAACCCAGCAGTTCCATTACCACATGATACAGAAGAGAAATGAAAACATGTCCTCAGGAACAATTGTATAGGAATGTTCGTAGATGTGTTATTTATAATGTTAAAAAGAAAGGTTAAAAAATGAGCCAAATGTTAACACAAGAACATTGCTTTCTAGCCCTTTAGGTTATTCAAAAGGGAATATTATTATTAGAAGTGGTGGCATTTGCTTTTAATCCCAACACTCACTGACAAAGGAAGAAGAATCGTAGTGAGTTTAAGGCCAGACTGTAAACATAGTAAATATATGGGCCAGCCTGAGCTACACAGAGAGAGATCCTGTGTGTGTGTGTGTGTGTGTATTCTGAAAGGATTGCTAATCAGCAAGTAAAAATCAGATTACTGTGTGTGTGTGTTTACTCCTGAAAGGATTGCTAATCAGCAAGTAAAAATCAGATTACTGTGTGTGTGTGTGTGTGTGTGTGTGTGTGTGTGTGTATTCTGAAAGGATTGCTAATCAGCAAGTAAAAATCAGATTACTATTACTGGCTCCACAGCCCCATCAGAGGTGAACTATTTTACCCCTGTCTTTTACATCTTTCAAATATAAAATCTGAGGCTGAGGCAAGAGGGCCCTGGTAGAACGCTTGTCTGTTTTTCAGCATTGACATGTATGCGGAAGGTGTGGCGGATCTGGAGTTAATGGTTCTCTATTTCCCCCATATGCCCCCTGGGGAGAAAGATGCAGCCCTTGCCACAATCAAAGACAAAGCACAAAACCGTTACTTCCCTGCCTATGAGAAGGTGAGTGCCAGCTGTTTGACCTTCGGAGCATTCAGAGGGTCCTTACCCATCTGAGCAGCTAATATTGCTGCAACAAACATGCCATGCACTGTAGGGGTGAGCCTACAATATTGTCCACACCCAAGGGGGCATGAACAGGGGATGGGCACAGGTGAGATATTTAAGGAAAGGAAAAGGAAACGCTCTCTCTCTTTCTTGGAAGCCTGCCACACTTCTGATCTCCCAGCTTGTGTGTAAGTGCTTTCTCCTGATAATAAAAATGTTTGTTTCCATGTTGCATTGGTTCGCTTACAATGCTCTGTGTGGGTTAAAGGATATTATGAAGTATAAAATCAAGACTTACAAGTTTGGTTTCTAGGAAGACATGCTCCTTGGTTCATGCCTGCCTGCCTTCTGTGTCTTCAAAGGCAGGTGGGGCATGGGAGGTCTCTGGAGCCCCCTTGTTGGGAGCAGGAGGCATCATTGAGAGCTTAAGCTGCAGGAGAGAAGCCTTTCTTAGGGGTCCTATTTATCAACAGCATCGTGCTGTGGGCTGGCATTCTTATCATCTTAATTTGGGAGAGACACAGATCTTCAATCACAAAAGAGGCAAGAGGAAAAGGGTCTGGGTGTCATGGGGATGTTGGTGCTCCCTTCCACAATGGACTTCATTATTGTTAATTGAGCCGAAATGTAATCACTGGGTCAATCTACTTTAGTGTGAAGGGTACATTCACACAGGTGAAGTCACTTCCCACTAAGAGACCAGAGTACAGTTGGTGGGACACCCTCAAGCGTCAGAGCTTCACCTCATTACAGGGAGGGGGGAATAGTGCGGCTGGAGCTGGGAGTTTGGCACCTGTAGGAAAAGCAGTGAAGGACAGATGACAAAATGACGGGCAGAGATGTGCTTCTTGATGCTGGACCTGAGTCAGGGCCGAGGGAAAGGTGTGCAGCTCCATACTCACCTGAAAAGGAAGCAGAAGGGAAGGTGACTTGGGAACCTCAGAAAAAGTCAGGAGGGCCCAGATGACGGCTGTTTTCTTCAACATCTAACTAACATCTTTGAATCCTCCAGGTGTTGAAGAGCCACGGACAAGATTATCTCGTTGGCAACAGGCTGAGCAGGGCTGATGTTTACCTGGTTGAACTTCTCTACCATGTGGAAGAGCTGGATCCCAGTGCTTTGGCCAACTTCCCTCTGCTGAAGGTGCTCTATTTCAAACCCTCTGAGGGGCAGCCCATATCTTACTTCGTGAATCCAATATTTTGACCCACCTTCCAGTTTCTTCCTACCTTCATACCACCTCTCAAGCCCAGCTATACCTACAAAATGAGATTTTAGACCCTAGGCCTGAGACACCTGCTATCTCCAGAAGTACTCTTTGTCTTGTGTAATGGGAAGAACCCAAGGCCTTGCTTTCTCCCCCCATACCCTATTCCACCTTGGACTTGATCCTGATTTCAAGGAGATTTTCTTTATCACTGCTGCAGCCTTGTCTTTCTCACTGAATCTATCTGGGGATGTCTTTTCAAGCTTCTATGTTAACAAACCCTGTTGGGGAAGTCCTGTTATTTGTCAATAAAGTACTGTTGAGCCTATAGGAATCTAGATAGGTGGGGCTAGGAGTCCAGGAGGATTCTGGGAAGGAGAAACACAAGAGAGTCGAGATGTAACGCCATTGGGGTAGGAAGCCCGGAAACCTCTCCGGTAAGAGACATACTTAGATTAACAATTATGGGATAATTACTTAAAGCAGAGCTAGCCAGTAAGAAACAAGCAAAGGCCAACAGCTTCATAATTAATATAGCCTCCTGTGTGTTTATTTGGGACTGATGCGGATCTAGAACCAGGCTGGCGCGGCAGAGCCCAGGCGACTGGCAGGGGATAAACCAAAGCGGCTAGCAAAGAAAAAGCTTCTCTTAACAAAACCCTGCACATTTCTCTCTCCAGTGACTTCCCTCACAAGCATGTTTCTCCAATCCAGTAACTTCCACTGTGTGTGTGTGTGTGTGTGTGTGTGTGTGTGTGTGTGATGTATACATGTGTTCATCTGGGTGTACAAATGTGCCTATGCATATGGAAGCCAGAAGTATACATAGGATGCCTTCCTGTTTTGCTCTCTATCTTATCCTTGAGAAGCAGTTTGTCTCTGAGCCAGAGCTCATCTATTCAGCTAGGCTGTCTGACCAATGAATTTTAGAGCTGTCCATCTCCACCCTCTGCACCACAGCGCTGGGGCAAAGACACATACTGTTATACTTGCTTCTGTGTGGGCGCTGGGATCCAAACTCACCCCCATGCTTGCTGAGCAGGCACTTTGCCCACTGAGCCATTCTTCAGCTCCCTCACTGGTTTTATTGTCTTTGTTTTGTGTGGTGCTAGTGATTAAGCCTTGCATACACCAGGAAAGTGCTGTACCACTGGGCTACACTGACAGCCCCTGGGAATTCCCACTTTTCTTTCTCAGTGGTTGACACCGGACCCAGTTCCCTGTTCTATTTTCTACCACTATTTCTGACTCTGTTGTCCCAGATCTTCATGGAAGAAGATGAGAACCACTGGAGCAGAAGGAGTGTTTAAGATGTACTGGGGGAAAGCTCCATTTTCTCCTCTCAACTTCATTCTCCCCGAGTATCTGTCTCTGACCTCCACTTGCTGCTGATGGAGGGGATCGGTTGGTCTTTGATTGGCAGGGGCACAGGGCTGCACAGCAATAATAGTTTTTTCTTCAGCTGCTCTCTGAGGCTCTGATTTGTTTGTTGCAGGCACTGAGAACCAGAGTCAGCAACCTCCCAACAGTGAAGAAGTTTCTTCAGCCTGGCAGTCAGAGGAAGCCGTTTGATGATGCGGAATGCGTAGAATCAGCCAAGAAGATTTTCAGTTAAATCAGGTGGATATGGATGGATAGCAGCCACCAGGCAAGCCTTCTAAAGCTTTGCAACAATGAAGTGTTTTCATTAAATGTTGATCCTGGCTGGGCAGGGGTGGCCCACACCTTTAATCCCAGCACTTGGGAGGCAGAGGCAGGAGGATCTCTGTGGCTTCGAGGCCAGCCTGGACTACAAAGTGAGTTTCAGGACAGGTGCCAAAGCTACACAGAGAAAGCCTGTCTCAAAAAACAAAAACAAACAAAGTTGATCCTGCTGATTGTGAAGTTAACGTCTTTTCTAGGGTTTGTGCATGAATTCAAGTACTTATGACAAGTGGGGATTTGCTGGGATGCTATTTGGTTGTCGTCAAAATTGAAATCATAATCACTTCCTAGGATGTTTCCTTGAATTTCAATAAAATAGGGCAGGCTTACTCTCTGCCTGTTGACCAGATTGTTGCGAGTCTCTGTGTTACTACTGACTACTGCAAGTAGTTTTTCTGGAGTGGCTGAAAAATGCACTAATCTATGGGTATAGCAATAAATTGCTAGGAATCCTTTTAGCACAATTATCGCAGTAGACACTCCCTGTCTAGCCACAGGATCATTTCTCTCTACTTTTTAAAATTTAAATTAGAATAAAGCTTGTTTTACATGTCAATCCCAGTTCCCTCTCCCTCACCTCTTCCCCTGCCCCCCACTAACTCCCTATCCCATCCCCTTTCTGCTCCCCGGGGAAGGTGAGGCCTTCCATGGGGGTCTTCAAAGTCTGTCATTTTCTTTGCAGCAGCGCCTACACCCTGCCCCATATGTCTAGACTGAGAGAGTCCTCTGTGTGGAAGGGGCTCCCAAAGTCCACTCGAGTGCTAGGGATAAGCACTGATCCACTACCAGAGGCCCCATAGATTGCTGAGGCCTTCTCACTGATAGCCACGTTCGTGGGGTCTGGATCAGTCCTATGCTGGTTTCCCAGCTATCAGTCTGGGATCCATGTTCTCCCCCTTGTTCAGGTCAACTGTTTCTATGGATTTCCCCAGCCTGGTCTTGACCCCTTTGCTCATCACTCCTCCCTCTCTGCAACTGGATTCCAGAAGTTCAGCTCAGTGTTTAGCTGTGGGTGTCTGCTTCTGCTTCCATCATTTACTGGGTGAAGGCTCTAGGATGGCATATAAGGAGTCATCAATCTCATTATTGGGGAAGGGCATTTAAGTAGCTTCTCCACTATTGCTTAGATTGTTAGTTGGTGTCATCCTTGTAGATCTCTGGACATTTCCCTAGTACCAGATTTCTCTTTAAACCTAGAATGGCTCCCTCTATTATGGTATCTCTTATCTTGCTTTCCTCTGTTCTTCCCCAAACTCAACCTTCCTGCTCCCTCATGTACTCCTCTTCCCTCATCTTGTCCGTTTCTCTTCCTCCTAGCTCCCTCTCCCCTGCCCCCATGCTCCTAATTTTCTCAAATCTTTTCCCTTTCCCTTTCTCCGGGGGAACCATGTATGTCTCCCTTAGGGCCATCCTTGTTTCCTAGCTTCTCTGACATTGTGGATTGTAGGCTGATAATTCTTTGCTCTATGTATAAAATCCATATATGAATGAGTACATACCATGTTTGGCTTTTTGTGACTGGGTTACCCGGCTCAGGATGGTTTCTTCTACTTCCATCCATTTGCCTGCAAATTTCAAGATTCCATTGTTTTTTTCCACTGAGTAGTACTCCATCGTGTAAATGTACCATATTTTCTGTATCCATTCTTCGGTTGAGGGGCATCCACGTTGCTTCCAGGTTCTGGCTATTACCAATAATGTTGCTATGAACATAGCTGAAAAAATGTGCTTGTTGTATGAATGTGCATCTTTTGGGTATATGCCTAAGAGTGGAATTGCTGGATCTTGTGTAGACTGATTCCCATTTTCCCAAGGAGTCGCCACACTGATTTCCAAAGAGGCTGTTAGAGTAGGCACTCCCACCAGCAGTGGAGGAGTGTTCCCCTTTCTCTACATTCTCTCCAGCATAAACTGTTGTTGTTTTTTAATTTTAGCCATTCTAACAGGAGTAATATGGTATCTCAGAGTTGTTATGATTTGCATTTCTCTGATGGCTATGGATGTTGAGCACTTTTTAAGTGTCTATCAGCCATTTTAGACTCCTCTATTGAGAATTCTCTAGTTCTGTACCCCACTTTTTAATTGGATTATTTGGTGTTTTGGAGACTAGCTTCTTGAGTTCTTTGTAAATTTTGGAGATCAGCTGTCTGTCCAATGTGGGGTTGGTAAAGATCTTCCCATTCTGTGGGCTGCCATTTTGTTTTGTTCACTGTGTCCTTTGCCTACAGAAGCTTCTCAGTTTCAGGAGGTCCCATTTATTAATTGTTGATCTCAGTGTCTGTGCTACTGGTGTGATGTTCAGGAAGCAATATCCTATACCAATTCGTTCAAGGGTGCATCCCACTCTCTCTTCTAAGTGGCTGGATTTATGTGGAGGTCTTTGATCCATTTGGACTTAAGTTTTGTGCTTGGTGATAGACATGGATCTATCTGCAGTCTTCTACATGCTAGCATCCAGTTCTGCTAGCACCATTTGTTGAAGATGCTTTCTTTTTTTATATTGTATAATTTTAACTTCTTTGTCAAAAGTCACGTGTTTGTAGGTGTGTGGGTTAATCTCAGTGTTTTCAATTCTATTCCATTGGTCTACCTGTCTATTTTTGTGCCAATACCAAGCTGTCTTCAGGACTATAGCTTTAGAGTAGAGTTTGAAGTCAGGGATGGTGATGCCTCTGGAAGTTCTTTTATTGTACCGAGTTATTTTGGCTATCCTGGGTCTTTTGTTTTTCCATATAAAGTTGAAAAATGTTCTTTCAAGGTCTATGAAAAATTATGCTGATATTTTGATGGGGATTGCACTGAATCTGTAGATTATTTTTGGCAATATTACCATTTTTTTCTATGTTGATCCTACCTATCCAAGAGCATGGGAAATCTTTCCATTTTCTAGTATCTTCTTTAATTTCTTTCTTTAAAGACTCAAAGTTCTTGTTATACAGGTCTTTTGTTTGTTTGGTTAGCATTGCCCCAAGATATTTTATGTTGTTTGTGGCTATTGTAAAGGATGATGTTTCTCTGATTTCTTTCTTAGCCCATTTATCGTCTGTATATAGTAGGGGTACATGATTTTTTTTTCTTGAGCTAACCTTGTATCCTGCCACTTTGCTGAAGGTGTTTATCAGATGTAGGAGTTCCCTGGTAGAGTTTTTTGGGTCACTTATGTAAACTATCATATCACCTGAAAATAGTGGAAGTTTGATTTCTTCCTTTCCAATTTGTATCCCCTTGATCTCCTTTTGTTGTCTTATTGCTCTAGCTAGAATTTCAAGGACAATATTGAAGAGGTATGGAGAGAGTGGACAGCCTTGTCTTGTTCCTGATTTTAGAGGAATTGCATTGAGTTTCTCTCCATTTAGGTTGATGTTGGTTGTTGGTTTACTGTGTATTGCTTTTATTATGTTTAGGTATGTTCCTGTTATCCCTGATTTCTCCAAGACCTTTATCATGAAGGGGTGTTGGATTTTGTCAAAGACCTTTTCAGCATCTAGTGATATGGTCATGTGGTTTTTCTTTTGAAGTATGTTTATATGGTGGATTACATTGATAGATTTTTGTATGTTGAACCATGCCTGCATCCCTGAGATGAAGCCTACCTGATCGTTGTGGGTGATTTTCCTGATATGTTCTTGGATTCGATTTACCTGTATTTTATTGAGTATTTTTGCATCAATGTTATCTTTCTTAGTTGTGTTCTAGAGCTTTCAGTTGTGCTGTTATTTCTCTAGTGTGACTATTCTCCAGTTTCTTCATGTGAGCACTTAGTGCTATGGACTTTTCTCTTAATACTGCTTTCAAAGTGTCCCATAAGTTTGGATACGTTGTGTTTCCATTTTCATTGAATTCTAGGAAGTCTTTAATTTGTTTCTTTATTTCTTCCTTGACCCAGGAATGGTACAATTGCGTGTAGTTCAATTTCCATGAGTTTGTAGGGTTTCTGCAATTTGTGTTGTTGAATTTTAACTTTAAAGCATGGTGGTCTGATAAAATACATGGGGGTTATTCCAAATTTTTTGTACCTGTTGAGGTGTAGGGAGATATCTACATATCTGTGACCACACACCAACGAGGTTTCCTATGTTGCCAAATATGTGGTTGATTTTAGAGAAGGTCCCAGGTGGCTCTGAGAAGAAGTTATATTCTTTTGTGTTTGGATGGAATGTTCTATAGATGTCTGTTAATACCAATTGGGTCATAACTTCTGTTCCTTTGTTTCTTTGTTATGTTTCTGTCTGGTGGTCCTGTCTAGTGGTGAGAGTAGGATGTTTAAGTCTCCCACTATAACTGTGTGAGGTCTTATGTGTGATTTAAGTTTTAGTAACGTTTCTTTTACAAACATGAGTGCCTTTGTATTTGGGGCATAGATGTTCAGAATTGAGACTTCTTCCTGATGGATTTTCCTGTGATGAATATGAAATGACCTTCTTCATCTCTTTTGATTGATCTTAGTTTGAAGTCTAATTTGTTAGATACTAGGATAGCTACACCAGCTTGTTTCTTGGGTCCATTTGATTGGAAAATCTTATCCCAACCCTTTACTCTGAGGTAAAGTCTGTCTTTGAAGCTGAGGTATGTTTCTTGTATACAGCAGAAGGATGGATTCTGTCTTTGTATCCATTCTGTTAGCCTTTGTCTTTTTATAGGCAAGTTATGACCATTAATATTGAGGGCTAGGGTTAGGGTTAGGACCACTGAATATTAATTCTTGTTTGTTTTAGATTTGCTGTTGGTGGTGGTATTGTGTGTGGATTTACCCTGCTTTTTCTTTTGACTTTTGGTGAAGTGGGATTATCTATTGACTATGTTTTTTTGTGTGTAGTTGACTTCCTTAGGTTGGAGTTTTCCTTCTAGTATTTTCTGTACGGCTGGGTTAGTGAATATGTATTGTTTAAATCTGGTTTTGTTTTGGAATATTTTGTTTCCTCCATTTATAGTGACTGAAAGCTTTGCTGGGTATAGAAGTCTGGGCTGGCATCCATGGTCTCTTAGTGTTGATAGAGTATCTATCCAGGACCTTCTGGCTTTCACAGTTTCCATGAAGAAGTCAGGTGTAATTCTGATAGGTTTGCCTTTATATGTTACTTGGCCTTTTTCCTTTGTTGCTTTTAATATTCTTTCTTTATTCTGTGATGAGGGGACATTTTTGTGTAGGTTTTTGTACTTTTCTGTAGGCTTCTTTTACTTTCATTGGCATGTCTTTCTGTAGGTTGGGAAAGTCTTCTATGATTTTGTTGAATATGTTTTCTGCCCCTTTGAGTTGGGTTTCTTCACCTTCTTTCATACCTATTATTCTTTGGTTTGACCTTTTCACAGTGTCCCATATTTCCTGTATATTTTCTGTTAGGAATTTGT